TATATATATATATATATATATATATATATTCACTTATAGTTGACATATATTATTATACAACATCAGCTTCAGGTGTATAGTGCAGTGATCAAGCCTCTACCCCATCTATGATGCGGTCTCCCTAACAAGACATGTGACCATCTGACACCCTACAAAATATTTACACCATTAATTATATTCCTCGAACTGTCTTTCATATCCCTGTGGCAATACTGTAGTTAACTATTTATGCTGTGTAATCCCTTCCCCTTCTCCCTCACCCTCACCCCCTCCCAACTAGCAGCCATCAGTTGTTCCTCTATCTCTGAGACCACTTCTGTTTACTCTGCTCGTTCATTCAGTTTTTTAGATTCCACATATAAGTGAAATCATATGGTATTTGTCTTTCTCACTCTTTTTTTAAGTAGAGATTAAATAGCTAATCTTTCAAAACCCTAGGTAATTTCAAGAAATAAACAAAATAATTCATGAAAAGTACTCTGGAAAGTAAATACAACTAAACAAATACAAGATTTTGTTTAGTTATTCTTTAAGTCAAAATACAAGTACTACTCAAAATGTTTTTAAAATGGTATTTAAAATGAATTTAAGATTTTTCCTTTTCTATTTATTATTCTCCTTACTAAAAACATTTTTCTAAACCCTTACATTAATTCTGTATTTAAAATTATTTATTGGCAATAATTCTCTTTAGAAAAATGTTGGGACCTCTTTCCATTATATTTTTCAAATAAATTCTTTTGTCAAGTGATTTAAAAGTAGAGAGATTTTAAAATAGAGTATTTTATATACAAGTGCATGAAAACTAATTCAAACATATAACTAGCACATTATTACATTGTTTGATAATTATTTATTCTACCTCATCACAATTAAAAACTAAAACTTGTCTTCCAAGAAGTCCACCTAAAGCTTTGACTGATTCAGTTTTTCCAGTTCCAGCAGGTCCATAAGGATTCCCTCCAAGTCCCATCTTCATGGCTTGAGTGAGAGTTAGGTAGCACTTGTCTGTCAATGGAGTATAAACCAGCTTGGGAGCATTACCCTACAAAAGGGAAATATAAAGTGCTTATTCATGTTCTATTCAGATATCTACATATCGTGAGATTCTAGTTAAAAGCTAAAAAGACAACAAATAGATTAATGTTTTTAAACACAGAAAAATATCCAAAATATTTTCACTGAAACAAACTTTCTAAAGCATAAACTAGAATTAAACTTAGTTATTTTTCAAGCATGTATTTTATTCTAGTCTTACTTAATATATTGTTAGGTTTTCCGAATAGTCTATTGAGTTCTTGATAAAGGCAAACAAATTCAAAAATATATTGTGCAATAATCAAATACAAAAACACACTCTATTTTGTATTTTACAAGTTATGTCAACTTTTTTCTTGTATCTTACTAGCTTCACAAATAAAAATTACCTTGGAGACCTCAAAGTGTAATTAATTTGAAAAATTCCTTATGAAATTAATAATTTTAACATTAAATGATTTTCAAAATTCCTACTACATTTTAGAGAAAACAGATTCCAATTTCAACTTCAGTTTATAGAGTTCTTCCTTAATTTAGGTAGACAAATTTGGGTCTCAAAATACATTTTCTTTTTGAAAGAGTCAGCTGGCAACTCTCCAGACATAGGCTTATTAACATAATTGCCAAAATACTCTGATCATTGGTTCATTACAATAGGTAAAGGCAGAGAGGATACAGCTGAATTTTTTTGAGAATAGGTTACATGAGTTGGGTTATTTGTTTGACAATTCTTTCACCTTACAAAACATGAAAAGTTAGCAAACACATTTTAGCATATTTAAAATTGCAGTAATTTTGGCCTTATATAAAAGGAGGCACAAACTTAATTGCTTTCACTGAGGTTGCCTATATTCAGTTCTCCTTGAATTAAAGATATATTTTAAATTCTATATAAATACTACTCTATGAAAAAGTACATTTAGAGAGTTCAGTACAACAGCCATTAATTTAACTTCTCTGTAAATATTATTTTTTCTATTTTTTTCCACTATAACATCAGTTTCACAATGATAAAACAGAAAGAAGACAGTAACACAAAAAATTATTGAAAGTTACAACTAAAATGAAAATAATTCGTTCATCCAATAGCAAATTTCATTTAAAGTAAATCATTTCTAACTGGAAAATAAAACATTTCTGCCAAACGTCATACCTGATACTCATAAGTATACTGAAGTTCAGAATCCACCATTTGAACACAACATGTGTGATCACTTTTCATATAGAATCTAACTTGTTTTTTCCAAGCCCAGTCTTCAGTTGTATGAACTTGAACTTGGTTTAACTGTTTCACCACATCAATATTATGAATAATGTCAAGTATTAGTGCTTTAAGTTTAAGCTCCAGAATGCCAGATTCTATATACAAATAAATATAATTGGAGAAAGTGTTAGCTTATGACTTACGTACTTTATGATTATACGCATACAAGTGACTTCTTAATGAATTTAAATGGCAATTTCATGATATATTTGAATGGTATAATAATATAACCATGCAAACCAAAACCAAAAAAAAAAAAAAAATCAAATCCACAAGTAAGAAACAAGAATTTTGAGTGTGAAAACTAAGGCAGCAAAAGTCAACAGGAGAGGGGTTCCAGTTCCTGATGCAAGTGAGTAAGCACACTCGGGCCTGTCTCTACTCTCAAGGCAGGTATGAGAAACACAGACAATATGGAAAAACTGCTACTTAGGTCTCTGAAAAGTAACAAGTATTAGGCAAACTGGGGAAGATCAAAATTGGAAGCACCATCAAACCAGTAGTGAATTTATCTTTATCTTTTTTTTCCCTCTCTGGTATCCCTAGGCCTGGACCCAAAGCGGCCAGAAACCCAGGTTGCTGTAGACAGGGAGACCTGTAGGAGGAGGCCTCCAGCTCAAATCTGAAAAGCAGAAAAGGAGTGTCCTGATAGTTACCTTGCTGGCAGCTGAGACCCAGAAATGCCTAAAACGATGAAGAAAGGGAACATTCCTCCAAAATCAGAGGAGCTATGATCCCAAAAGAGTAGGGCAAACCCCAACTGCTCTTTATCTCTCTCTCTCTCTGTTTTCCCATTGGTTGACCCAGGACCTGTGGGCAATCACAGAAAGTATGCAGGAGAATAGGGTTCATGAACCTCAGCTTTCTGGCCATGGGAGCCCAAGGGAACCATAAAATACTGGGAAGACTATGGAGAGGGTGGAGATTGGATAAAAGAAGTTCATAAACTTGTTTATAAACTCCAGCTCATCCCCAAGCTGTGCAGATCTCATCCTAAACATCAAACCAAAGGCTTTGAGAACTAGCCACTAGGTGGCACACATGTGGGACACATCTAAATAGTATTGTAGACTTGGAAAACAGAGCTGACATTGGAACCACAACCCACAGAAGGCTGGCTGGAACTTGTTGCCTGAACCCAACATGGTCAATTGCTAAAAGAAAAAAATCAACATTATCTATTCTAGAGGATTTAAATAAGACCCAGATTCTCATAACACAATATTCAAAATGTCCAGGATACAATACAAAATCTTTCAACATGCAAAGAACCAAAAAAAAAATCTCAATTCACATTAGGAAAGAGAATAAAGGTGAAAGAATGATAGCCTCAGATGAAGGAAACCTATGAGAATTCATAGCCAACAAATAAACCTGCTTTAAAAGAAGTGCTTCAAGCAGAAGGAAAATGATACCGGAAGGAAATTCAGAGCATCAGAATGAAGGAAGGGCAACAGAAAAGGTAAGCATCTAGGTAAATATAATAGATAGATTATTCGCTCTTCTCTTGAGTCCTTTAAAATATATTTGATGGTTAAAGGCAAAAATTATAATCCCATGGAGTTTTCAATGTATGTATAAGGCAACTAAAACACAAAAAGAGGAGGATAAACAAACTTATATGATGGTAAGGTTTCTACATTTCATGTAAAGTAGTAAATTATTTATTCTAAGGACAGTATAAAAGTTTATATATATTGTAATGCCTAAAGTAACCTCTGAGATGGAGTAGATATTATAGATAGATAGATAGGTAGATAGATAGATAGATGATAGTCAAAAACAATAGATGAATTAAGATAGAATACCAAAAAATGTTCAAATAACTGAAAAGTAGGCAGAAATGGAACATTTTTCCATACCAGTATTCCCTGGATCCTCAGAACTTGTATCAATGTTAGTATAGTGCTCTAACTTTTTCACCAGTTGTGTTTCAATCTGATGAAGACTATGATCTTGGATAGCATTTTCTACATCTTCAGTGAATTTAATATGCTCTGCCAAGCATAATATCTATTGAATAAAGAGAAAAAAACATTTTTTAAAGGTGAATTTATTTAGAAATATTTTATAAATTTAAGGAAAGACATCTGTTTTCCAAATTTCAATAGTATATTGGATCTCTCTACCTGAATATCTTACTGGTCCTCAAATATTAATAGAGAAATACAGTCATAGAAAAAGCATTGTGTAATGAAGCCCAAGGTTACTTCTCAGAACTCATCGCATGCTGCTCTCCTATAGGCCTATTTACTGGTGCTAGGACCCACCAAGCTTACTGTAACCTAAGGGACTGTGTACTTTCTTCCCCTGACGCTCCTCATAAATGGACTCTTTTCAATCAGTACAATGCAAAGATATCAGAATATGATGCATTCTATTTAATAAAATGATAATCTTCTAGCATTCCAAATTAATCTCTCAGTATGCTACTGAACTCTACAATTTCAAATTCTAATTTTATCCTAAATTAAGATTGGTCTTAATCTTTCGGTTTAATTAACCCATAAATGGAAACTAGCTAAAGATCAAGACAGATATCTTTATATTTATATAAAATATGAAATGTTAACACAGCTTTCTGAAATAGTACCAATAGAGCAAGGCTCCTAATAAAGTAAAGGATACATTTGAACACCAGCCTTTGAAAACTTATATTAAAATAACTGGATCCAGTTCTTAGATGAACAAGGTAAACCAATATCCTCCTTTAAACTAAAAACATAATCCATCATCATATAAAAACACTAAACCTACTGACCAATTATAATTGAACAGTTTCTCTGATATATACCTTCAGCATCCATATGAATACCATAAAATGCCTCTATTTATCAGATTAACTTATTTAGTTATCTATATATACAGAAGGTGCCAAAAAAATGTATACACATTTTAAGAAAGGAAAACTGTATTAAAATTTTAATACTCAATATATACTGATAACAAAAGATGAATACAAGTCACGTTTGACTTCTGCAATTACAAGAGGTGCTCAAAGTGGTTACCATCAGCATCTAAACACTTCCGATTACAATGAACTACTGCTTGAGTAATGTTGACCAAGGTGTCCACTTGTGTACATTTTTTTGGTATCCCTGGTATTTTATAATTTAACGTAACAGGCTAAGTTGCTATGTTGTTCTAACTTAAAACAACATATCACATTAAGGTTCTTTTATGGAAGAGAAAGCCAATAAGTAACTTTCCAAGGCAAAGTTATCTGCCATGCTTTGTAGTACAAAACTCACTACCTTCTTTAATCAGACAGTGGTGAGTCATTTAAGCAGATCCAAATCTGCTTTTGTAAAAAGACTTTGCTCTTTAATTTTTATGTGAAAATGTTCACTTGCCACCTCCAAACTAATACCAATACATGTGGATTCCTTTCAGGCAATACTTCTGAATTTCTATATTATAAATACACATCAGTAATCTCAATTTCTATAGTCTGCTATACAATTTGAGTGGCTAACAGAAATGACAGTCAAGATACAGTCTTGGCTAATTCTCAAGTCACGCTACCATTAAGATATCTGCGTAGGCACTAACATTATTAATTACCTAAAATGTAATGGTCACTAAGAGTGCTCTGCAAACAATATATGATTTAACCTTCAAAATGAGTTGGCAATGTCAGAATTATTATACTCTCTTAACTAAGTTTCAAAAAGAATCACTCAGAAAATAACTGTCAAAGGCAGAATTTGAACCACGCTGCCTCCTTCCCAAACCAGAAAGTTCCTTCTCAGGTCCTTTAAAAAGCTGAATTAACAGTACATAGTAACCTGTACCAGGCATTCATATGACAACTTACACTACTCAATCCCCTTATGAAAATTCTCTTGACATAAATTTTTTTTAACATTTAGCTGCTAATGAACTAGAATTTTTGTTTTGGTGGACAATAGACTACAGTTGACTCTTGAACAACATGAGTTTGAACTGCACAGGCCCATTTATATACGGAAATTTCTCAGTAAATATACAGTCAACACGTCATATACCCAGGTTTTGCAATAGCAGATTCAACCAACCGTGGATTGAAAATGCTGTTTCTCAACAGCGGTTCGAGTCCAGCCCGAGCTGAGCAGCCGCTGAGCTACCAACAGGTAGCAGGATGGCTCAGCTAAAAAAAAAAAAAAAAAAAAAAAAAAAAAAATGCTGTTTCTATGTCATTTTATATAAGGGATTTGAGGATCCGTGAAGTGTGGTATTTGCAGTGGGTGGTGAGGATGGGAGATTGGGAGTGTTCTAGAACCAATCCCCCATGGATACAGAGGGACAACTGTAGATAAGTTTTGAGGGAGTCAAAAGTTATAAGTGGATTTTTGACAACACGGTAGGTCAGCGCCTCTAATGCCCGTGTTGTTCAAGGGTCAACACTACTTACATTTTTAGTAGTTCACATTTTTACTCTTGACTGCTCAAGAGCCCAGTGGTAAGTTTCAGACTCAAATCCAGCAACTTTCTTTGGCATGTATCTCCCAGTATATCACCTGATACAACTGTCATTTCCACAATCCAATTATTTTGTAATTCTTATTTTTATAGATTTTTTAATACTGTGTGTTTTTCTCTAAGTCAATTTAAATCATGCTAGGAAATATTTCCGGAGGTAATAAAGCAGCTTAACTCTGACTTTGCAATGGCATTATTATTCATTGATCATTACTCTTATTTTTCTCTAAGAACTTAAAAAGATTTTTTAAAACATTTTATTTTGACTCAAAATGCTAAAAGATGCATATGACATGAATGATAAAACAGCTAAAAATCTAAAATGTTCCAAGCTTCCTATTTAACTTCTCATGGTTTAAAAACACATAAAAACCTGTTCCACTGCTACTAAATGTTTTAATCTGAAAAGCAAATAACTTTGAGAAGTTAGATTTTCCTGTGAGAATCACAGAACACCTCGATGCCTACCTTTCATGGTCCCTAAGAACTAAAGTTCCTGATGACCTACATTGGTGGTATTAGTCTCAAGCAGCAATAAAACAAATCCTGAACAAGGCAGAATACTTAACACAAATTTTAGTGCTACACTTTGATAAGGACTGGAACAAGTCCTGTAAGATACATATCTAATATCCAATGTTTCAGGAATGAGTTCCTATTAACACTGAGTTGCAGCAATCTGTAATACCCACCATGTAACCTTGCTCTCAGCTTCCCTGCCAACATTTTAGTTCAGCACTGTGACCATATTTCAGACCTACACTAACACCCTGCTAACTCCTGTGAGCTCCAACCTCTAAGGTGATTCCATGTGAGGGGTCAGGGACAGTGTTATAGATCCTGTGCCTTTCCATCAATGATGGACTAATCATCTGGAACCAGGAAGCTACAATATGACTGATTCTCCCTCCCCACTGCCTTCCCCACCATCCTGGGTAGCTTAAATCTCAGCATGCCTTCTGTTAAAGCAAATGATAGAAGAGAACTTCACTAACATGCAGTTCTTCCCTCATACTTGGCAGTTGAGGGAACTGAGACTCACAAGTTAAGCAATTCGTCGGCATTAAGTGTTAGATAAAGGGAGACCAGAGATACCAGTTGCTTGAGCCCTCTGACCTTGAGGTCAGAAGTCATCCCATGATGCCATGCCTACCTATATTCCAGACATAAGCCCCCTTACCTGTGAAGGGAACAAAGATGGGTCAATGGCACCTTGAGATCTTTGTCCAGTAGTAAGACATTCTGTCAATAGATGTTTCAAAGTTTGCTTCATTTCCAAGGCTAAATCATTTAACCAAGCCTGGAAATGAAGTTAGAAAATAATATATACAAGTCATAAAACAGGTATGTAATTTATAGACTGACTATTCTTTTACTGCAGGAGGAAGGATTATAATTTCTTATAGATTCTCACATCCCAAAATGTGTTGTATGGCATGTAATGACTTAATTAATAAATGATTTCTATAGTTTGGAGAAAATATTTTTTTACCTTTTGGCATAATGGTTAGTGTAAAAACTCATAAAGTTGTGGTTAGCTATCACTATCATCATCTATACAAACCAATATATATGACCATTTAAAAAGCAACCCATTCATTTTGTCATTATGACAAATCAAACTAAACAGTTGAGCCAATAAATCAGAGTCAAAGTGACAAGCTAAGTCCCCTGGCTCATGCTATCCTGGTGATCTCACATTCACAAAGTTGCAACCATAGGAAGGGATTGCTTCATCAGAATGAAGTATATTAGCTAGGGAGTTAAATTGTCTCTTCAAATAAAACTAATTTTGTTTCAATGTCAAAAAATACATTCTCTTCACTCACTTGATTATAGATAAAATAATGAAAGTTAGCTAGTTGAAATTATGATTGATAAAAAAAGCAATAAATATTTATGAATCATTACTTAACTTTAAAAGACTATCATTTGCAATAAAATGTAAGGGCAAAACTTACAATCTTAAACAGCTTTTCATCATTATGTACTTTAGCTCTAAGTTCTAGCTTTTCTTTTGATCTTTAGAGCACCTTCCAGTATTAAAAAGAGCATGAACATTTGCTGAGCTCAAAGGCCACTAACACTAAAGAGTGAGAATCTCTGTGCAAGGCAACAGAGACGCCTACTCTGCTAATCATCACAAGAGCGTCCAGAGTTCCAGGGTTTTTTTGCTGGCAAAACTGCTCTAGCCCAGCTGCTAACACATAATCTCTTCCTCTCACTGTTCATCTCATTCCCAACAAAATGACGAGAAAGGCAAAAAACAACAACAGAAAACAAAAAAGCTCTTCACCAAACATTTGGGAGCTACTTAAAACTTCGATGCTTTCAATCACCTGATTTATGTGCTCAATATCCAATAAAAATGTTGAGGTCTAACCAGGAATAGACTTTTTGCTAAACTGTACAGAACATGCATGATAAGACATGGCTTCTGACTTCTAGTTGGAGGATAATTTTGGAACCTGAAATTACAACTCAATGTGATGCAACCTATTGCTATTTGGTTTTAGCTGTATACCTGTAATAGGCCTTTGACAGTTCACTTCCAGTCCTACAAGATCAATTAATCATAGTTGTTCTATAATTGCATTAGTTTCAAGCTTCCTAGTTCACCTAAATCATCTTATACAACTCATATTTTAAAGAGAAAAGAGAACTAAGAAGACTTATCAAGGACTTATGTTCCAAACACTATATAGTGTACTTAAGGCCAGTTATCTTATTAAATTTTCAGTAGAAAGTCTTTGCAACTGAGAGTAAGATTCTCACTTTACTGATAGAAAACTGAGATTCTAAGTTACATAGTAATAAGTTTTAGAGCTAAAATTAATATTCAATCCTTTTTTACTCCAACGTAAAAGCTATTTTCATAATTACATGCTACCTTCCAAAGACTAAAACTCTATATTCTCTGAAATATCATATCATTCTGACCCTAACAAAACAAATCATTTTTTAAAAAATATGAGATGTGTTTCTTAAAAGGCCTAAATTAACCAACTTTACCCTACCAACAGACTAAATAATTTTTGATACAAAGTTCACATCGTTAATTCTTTTTATTTTCATACTTGAAAAAAAATTACCTCTACGTTATTTGATAGAAGAACTTTATTTTTAAAAGGTACAACTTCTCCCTCTAGAGATTTCATTGCAGTTATATGTTTTGATTCCTCATCAAAACACACACTGTTAATACCTATAATATAAAAGCAACATTTAAATGCAAAATGATTAATGATAATCATTAGATATCACATATGGTTACCACATAATGTATAATATATACCTCATATAGTACCATGCAATAGAATTATGTTAATGCTATTACATACTATCATAGAACAGCTTCTCATAACCAAAAACTGAAAGAGCCCAAGCCCATAAACAGATAAACTGTGATATAGCCAAACAATGAAATGCTATTCAGTAATTAAAAGGAATATAGTTGAAACATTATGATAAACAAAAAAAAACAAGCCAGACACAAATGAATGTATAAGAACACATACTGACGATTCCACTTGTAAGATATGAGACTGAAAGAGGACGGGGTGGGGGGGGGGGGCAAACAGAGCTTCCCTTCCCCCGATCGCAAACAAATTTAATTTTCAAAAGCCCTAAACATATTAGCTAATTTTGATCTTCAGAAAAACCCTGTAAGTTATTATTTTCAATTTAAAAAAGGAAACTAAATTTCAGAGGTAATAATTAATTAATAAGTCAATTAATAAATAGCAGAGGTAGAACTTAAATGGAGGCCATCTGATTTCAAGTGCTCTTTCCACTACCTCCCATAGCCCAAAGCACAGTTACAGATATAAACACCCTAAAGCTTCAGATGTACAGTGGTTAGTATATACTTCTGTAAAGCACCAGAGAGTAAATATTTGGGGGTTTTATAGGCCATACAGTGTCTGTGCCAACTACTCAACTCTGTGCTCGTACCACTAAAGCAGCTATAGACAATAATGAGCATGACTATGTTCCAACAAAACTTCATTTAAAATAAAAAAACAGGCAGTGAGCCAGATTTGGCTTGAAGGTCTGTAGTTTGCTGATCCCTGATTATAAACAAAGATGATTATAATTTTTTACTTCTTAAAGTTAATTTGAAAAATATATTTTCCAACAAATGAAATATTTTAAGAAAAAAATAATCATTATTTTTGTTACAAACCAATTCTATTTACAATTACCCAACGAAAATGATTCAATAATATCAAAGTATACAGCACTATTACTCTATACTTTTCACCAATCTTACCTGTTTCCATAAAGTAATTATATTATCTATATACAAATAACTCCCAATTTTACTTCTCCATCCCGGATCTCTCTCCTGATAATAATTGCTTATTGAGTATCTCTGCTTGGACGTCATTCAGAAGACCTTACACTCAATAATGAAGGCGGCATGTTCTCTTTCACTTCCAAGCCTCTGCATGGCCTATTCCCTCTGCCTCCCCATTTCTCTTCTAGCTGAGAGCTATACATTCTTCTAATCTCACATAAGAAGTCAACTTCTTCATGATGCCCCAAAACTGAGCTAAATGTCATCAGAGATGCAATTATAACACCACGTACTTGTAACAATCATAGGAATTGTCATATTTGTCAACTTACTAGCTAATCTTCCCAACTGAACGTTAGGTTCTTTAAGTGTATGACATGTATTTTATTCAATAGTCTACCTAAAATCCTAACATTATGCCAGGCAGATAATTGAAACAATAAATATCTGTTGAATAAATGTTGACTCTTACCAGCAAACAGCTTCTTAAGGTGAGACTGAATCACTGATGGGTTAGTAGACTGGCCCAGTATTTCTAACAAGTCGTCATCACCAATGAAATAAAATCTTGGAAAGGCTGAGCGTTTTTCCTAATAAAAATAAAACAAAAAGAATAGTCTTTGCTTTTCAAATAGTATGCTAATTACTTTACAATTTATTATATAAACATTTTTGTTAAAACATGCCTCCAAAAACTCATTTAATGATTTCTGACATCTTTGAAGCTGATCAAGTATTGTTAGTAGAGAATTTCTGATTCCTGCATGAGTAGTTAATGTTGTGACTCTGTTGTCTTTCTTGATGTCAGTCATTATTGATCTACAGAAGGGAAAAAAAAAAGCCATTTTCACATCTACTTTAACAGTTTTTTGACTAATAGATACTGAGATATTTATTTTATTCGCCTGCTTAAAACTAGAGGTTAACACTATATAACAGGAATACATCATTATGCTTCCAATAATGCTAAAAATACTATCCCATTATCATTTTTAACTTCCCATAATGCAAATTGTCTTATTTTATTTATTCACTAAATATATATTAAGTCCTACTTCATGAAGATAATGGTCCAGTGACAGAAAAAAACATTAATTTATTCAAAATACTTAAATAAAATTATGATAAATGCTAAAAAGGAAAATTACAAAGCATTTTTAAAGTGGCTAATAGGGCAATCCCTAACCTATGGTTCTTTGAGGAAGTAATTTCAGCTGGGGTCTAAATGATGAATAAAAAGAAAGTAGGTGAGTAGGAGGGAAACAGTTTCTGGCAAAGATTTTGGAAAGAAGCTTGGTATGTCTGAGAAACTAAAGACTAGAGTCACTAAAGCGAAAAGGAGTGGGACACACAGAAAGGAGAGGGACAAGAAGAAGATTATTCTTTATTCATGGAGCAACAGGTAGCCATTTGAAAGTTTCCTCAAAGCAATGAAGGAAAGAAGTGATGACACTTCATTTTAAAAAATTACTGACTGTTGTATGGAAAACTGAATAGAGAAGACAAGAATCAGTCAGAAGGTTAGACAGTAGTACAAGTTAGTGACAACAAAAGTACTTTAGAAATAGAGATATAAAGGATATATTAAAACATATTAAGTGGATTAGAATCAATAAAATTTGGTAACAATGGAGTTGGAAGGAGAGGGAGGTGTCCAAGATATCCATTACATTTCTGCTTTGAGCAATTAGGTGGTACCATTTATTGAGACAGATATACGAAAAAGATTTGTGGGAAAAGGGATTGGAGGATAAACTCATGATTTTAGTTCTGACATATTGATTGAGGATGCTTAGTATATTTGGAGCTCAGAAGAGAAATACAGGCTTGATATATAAATTGAGGAGACATCCGCAAATAGAAGACAGCTGATATTTAGAGTGGTTAAGATCACCTCAGGAGAAATTTGGAGTGAGAAAAGAACCTAAGGCTGAAAAACCTTGAGAACATCTATATCTAAATGTTTTAACAGGGCTGAAGACTAGGAACAAGAAGTAGAACCTGAGAAACAGGCAGAAAACCAAGAGAGGACAGTATAACAGAAGCCCAGGGAAGAGACTTTATAACAAAGAAAACATGCTCAACTCTATTAAATATTAGTCAGAGATAAAGTAAAATGAGGAATGAAAAATACTCATCAAATTTACAACAGGAAAGTAATTTGTGACTTTAGAAAACAGGTATATATTATATACCTATATCTATATATTTATTAGTTCATTAGTATATATTATCATATATATTAGAGCAGTAAAAACAGAAACAGATCAAAATGGTTCAAAAATTAAATGCCTGAATGACAGAAAATAACTTCTCAAAAGGATCCAGTAGAGAAAGAGTTGAATACACAGATGATACTAATAATCAAAAGTAATTAGCTTGTATTAAGGACTTCATAATATGAATAAAAAACTTCCATATGTGTCAATGTCTTATGGAGTTGTACTGACCTAAAATCTTCATCAACTCTGTTGAAGCGTGTCTGTTCTTTTGGCAATGCTCCACGGCCAAAAATGGGTTCCAAATACACCCACTTTCTCTGAATATGGTTTAAATTCTGTAGATATTCATCTAACTCTGCAAGTTTTCTTTCCCAGATTGACACTTTATCTTCAAATCCTTTATAATAAGGAGAATCCTTTAAGGACTGAAGAAGGCATCTATTATCTCCAACTTGATTTACTATATCTTTCCAGTCTTTAATCAGCTTGATGGTTCGACTTTGGCTGTCTTCATAATCAATCAATGTAAATACTGCTCCAACTCCCCAAAGATCAAGTTCACGTAAAGCTTCTCTAATTGTAACTTCACCTTGTGCCCGACTATTTAAATCCTATTTAACACAAAATATCCATATTTATTACATCATTAATTGTCATATAAATAAATTATAAGAAATCTATTTTAGAAGATGATATATCTTTATCTGGCTTCTCACCATAAGACAAGAAAAAAAAATGTAAGTGGATATATTTTACAAGTAATAAAAGAATTACTGGCTACTGTATCGATGGATATCAGATACTAAGTATTCAGGTTCATATGGTCAAAGTATATACAAAGTTCTGCCTTATGCTTTTTACTTCTAAAAAGAAAACTCACACATCCATTTCAAGACACAAAATAATGTAGCTTATTTAAAGTTTTGCAGACCTCAGGCATTCTATTGTAACTTAATTGTAAGTTCTGATACATCTAAAGTGATTAGCAATCATATAAAGTTATCTTTTACAGCAGTTGTGCTTTACAACCTCACATTATCTAAGTATGCTCCAGAATTATCAACAAACATAAAAATATACCTTTTCAATAGGAAATAAAACAATTTGACATCTAGAGTCCTTTTATTTTTACACTGAATGGGCAGAACACAACACAGAAAATCCGCCACTTATGGTAGAACTGTGACAAGTTTTACTTTTACCTGAGACCTTTTCTAAATCTGATTAGTAAATTGGTTCTTGGTTTAGCTATCTGAATTTCTGTATCCCTTAGCTTCTGTTTATAATATATGCCATGATTTTTAAAAATGATTTGTATTTGTTTACTTTTTTATTAAAACTGCCTCCCTTTTTATAAAGACATTATTAATTTTATTTTTTCTCTCTCAAAAAAGGGAATTACGTTGTTTCTATACACAGTGCTAGACATATTCAAAAGTATTACTAATGAAAGAATGATAGAATAGTGGAACACTGTCATATTTCAAGGGAAGAAACAAATTTAACTTGCAATTTTATTTAAATAATAAAATATGAACAAAATCACATGTTAACATAAGATTAGACATAAGAGATATTTCAAAAAGTGATTCTTACTTTAAGGTCAGAAGTTTTGGCAACAATTGTATCAGCTACTCTGAGGAGATCACCAAACACTAATTTCTCTAGACTAGTTCCTCTAGGAAGGCCAAGTAGACGAAAAAGGTCCAGCCAGTGATCTGGAGAAAGATGTTCTCCTCTCACATATTTCAAGATAGGAACTGCGATCTGTTAAATACGAAGAAAAAAACAGAAACGTGTATACACATAGTATACATATATAAGGAAAATGCAAATTATTACTTACTGTTATGATTATTAGGTATAAAAATTTTAATTACTCCATCACCTTATTAACAATCTTGAAATCACACTCTTAAACAGAATTACATGAAAATTTGTATTAAGCATTGCTACGAATACATGCAAATTTCCCTTTTAGCTTAACATCTTTAAAACATGACCTAAAATATTTGTATTTATGTTTTTATTTTAGGGTAGATCTATATCCTACATATGCTAAATGATCCATATATTAAATTGTGCTAGGAAGTATAAATACTCTGATTTATAATTTTAATGATAAATTTTTTAATTATAACTTCTTTAAAATTGATAGAAATATCAATTATTTCTATGCTTTATTCTATACTTTTTTTTCATGTAATGGAATAATTTAAAAATACATAAACTAAAATTACAGTCACTACATAATAAACGATACATAAAAGTTCCAAATATTTTTAAACAGAATAAGTAAAACCATCTTACTTTATATTTGTCAATTTCTGATTGTAATTTCACCGTCATTACTGAATGTTCTTCAACCCTCCTTAATCTCTCATGCCAGTTCATCAAAAATTCTTCAAACAGATACGTCTTAGTCCTATAAAATACCAGAAACACACTTTGAAACTTAAATCCCAACAACACTACCAAACTATAAAAATCTAAATATTGTTTATGAATCAAACCGAAAAGTAATCCAATCTTCGTTGGCCATTTCCTGAAATCCTTGCTGAAACTCTTCATAAAGGGCCCACATCTGTGCACAGCCCTCAATGTCTTTAGAGATGCTATATGCCAAAGAAAAGTCGGGCTCTTCTAGTCCAAAATGATGACAATCATCACTATAAAAACAAACAAAAAAGTGAAATATCATTATATTTTTTTAAAAAATTGTTAAATATCAGTGTTATTTAAGTGCATTACCCGTGTGTGTGTGTTTGTCTGTGTGTGCTGCACACCTGTGTATTTGAAAGTAGAGGTACACAGTGGGGGACAATGTCTACCTTACATGAGAAATTTACTTAGGCGTGGGCTCTTGTAAATTCATTAATATGCATTTTTTACAAAACAGTCAAAGTGAAGTTGGTAATATATTTATGTACATGATGAAGAAAAAACTTACACCAGCTTTTTTCTTATGATTTCAAGATCATCAAACTCAATTTTTTTCTCTTTTATTGACTTTGCACTTTTATCAAGGGTATTTTGCTGACCAGTTTCAATAACATCATCACCAGGCTTTAGTTGATCCCAACGAGCTTTAAATTTCTCCAATTCTTGATAGTAGATCTGAAGACGTGATTTCACATTTCCTTTCATCACTTCAATCTATAAGCCAATAGAGTTTATATCATTTAGTTCAGAATAAAATCTCACTTCATTTTCACATTTTTATTTCCAACATTTGCTACTGAACAAGGTGAAAAAGTATCAATACCAACTTTTCAACAGGTTGTTTTTAATTACTGATTTCAAGTATAATAAAATAATTCAAAAGCATAAAATTAGACTATAAATTTATGAGAGATAATCTGCAAACATCATCATTAAGAACTAATTCATGTGATTAAGGGCACCCATCACAACTATCAAAAGGTGATGTGATTTAAAAAAAAAAAAAAAAGTTCAATGACTGCCAGTTGTTCCACCTGAGGGCATTTCCCAGTTTCCCATGCAGCTAAATGACATAAGACTAAGTTCCTGTCAATGGGATATGAGTGTAATGGATATGTGCAACTTTCAGTTTGTACCCTTAAAAGATACCATATATGGTCAGTAAATAAATTCATTCATAAGAAAGGCTGGAAATAATGATACATGCATTCTTGAATAGCAGGAATAGAAGACAAACTACGTGAAATGATCATTATATAAAGTGTTCTACTATATAGAAGTACTTGGAGGTCAATTTCACCAGCAATATAAAATCCTTATAAACCTAAGCTATAATGGAATAAAATAAGAAACTTTAACTGAGAAAAAAATTAAGTATCCATTTTAACAAAATGACTAAAAGGTTCTTACCTGATCTTTAATCATAAGTTGGTGACTTTCCATCATCAACTCAAATTTATCCCACTTAGCTTTCAGATTACTAATTGTTTCTAAACCTCTACCTGCCACAGTTCGTAAAAGTCTGTTTTTATCTTCCGCTTCTTGAAATAAGGGCAAAATCTAAAGGTTAACAAAAAAACATAAAAACAACCTATTTTATCAAATTTCTTAAAATTCTATTTATTTTAATTACTGTTTCATGATTTGCTTCTTAAAAATCAAGATTCTTGCTTTTAAATAATTGTTAAATTCCTGGATATAAAGTTTCTAATGCTTACTTATTATTACATACAAACTCAACCAAGGCACCCTAACTTCAGGAGTTATAAAGAATAATAAAAGTGATAATATGATACTGAATGAAACCGTGAATCTATAAAGACAATACTATAGCTGTTCAAAGTAAAGTATTGGGTTGTTGGAAAAGTCATGACATATTTTTTCTCTGTTTTTCGTTGCAAAAATGTGTCATAACTTTTCCGACAACCCAATACTTACAGTAAGTCCCTGACTTACGAACATTCGAGTTGTGAAGTTTCACAGATACGAACGGACCTCACATTACGAACATTTGTAGATGCAAACAAATCGCGGAAGTAGCTCATATGTCTGACGGACATGGTCACAGTTGTGCTGCTGTGTGCTTACTGTAGAGTGCGATAGTGTACAGTGCTCAATCAGAGCCCAGGATGTCCAGATGCAAGAGGAAAAGCAGTGGTGATGTGGAGGGAACTGCTAGGAAGCACAAAGCAATAACCATGGAAACAAAAGTGAAAATAATTGAGAGATTGGACCGAGGTGAAAAGATGGTAGACGTCACTCGTTCTTATAACATGAATCATTCAACCACTGGCTTTACATTGTGTATTTGTGTCAAAGGTGGATAAGACTCACTTTGTCGGACTTACGAACGAATCCGACTTATGAACGTTCACTCATTCATAAGTCGGAGACTTACTGTATTATAAATGTTCCACGTGTAAGAAAATGCTAAAGATGCTTCTAAAAGAACTGAAATCAATGATGACTTAAAAGCACAAGTTAATTAAATTATCCTACTTAACAAAGACGAAAAAGTCATGAAAAAAGGTATGTAAGAAACAGACAAGTAAGTAAAATCAAGCTCCTGCATTCAATTTCTACTTGAAATGCCCTGACTCATGTATAGTTAGCAATTTTTCAACAGTCTAGGTATAGGTCATTAAGTGCTAAAATGCTTGAATTGCTTCTAAGCCTTTTTAAAGCACTGTAAAACAAGTGTCATATAAATTAATATCTGTACTTTTACTAATCAACAAAGCAATAATAGCCATAGAAAGATTTTTTTAAAAATCACCATGCATACACAATAGACAACAATAACAACAACAAAAAAAAAATGTCAACTATATCTCAATAGCCAGTTGGCAATCCCTGGGCAGTATTAGTTCCATCTGAGAAACAGAGAAAACCAATATACCAAGAAGCCACATTGTACTATAAAAATCAGTAAGAAAGGTGAAAAAAATAGAGGAGGATTCTAATTTCCTACATAAGAACAGAACTTCGGTTAGCCTGTAAAGACTTTACAACACTTTCCTAGTCTACCTGCCTCCATTTCTACTCCTTCAAATCCAAATACATACCAACAGGGGGGCATATCAAAACAAATCCTATAACATCTTCTGCTAAAACCCCAGCAATAACTCCCCAACATCCACAGAATCAAGCCTCAGATCCTTAATGTGGCTCACATGACCTAGATCTGCCTAGCGTTTTATACTGTCTCATGTGGTTCCGAGCACACAACATCTATTTCTCTTAGTTTTTGTGGTGACACTCTGCATGCTTTTCCTCCCGCTTCACTGTCAATCTCCCATGCTCAGACTCTAAATTTTGGAATGCTTAAACCTGGTCCTATCCCCTCTACTCTTTGCTATCAACCAGATGGTGTTAGTCCAATCTCATGGCTTTAAGTATCACAGATACAAAGATGACTTCCAAATGCATACCTCTAGTCTTCACCTTTACTCTAAAGTCCATATTCCTCATTCAACTTCCACCTGACATCTTAATCCCCACCACTTCCAAACTCCAACCACCTTCCTTCTCTTGTCATCCTCATCTCAGTAAACAGAAGCTAATACCATTAGCTGCCCAGCTGCTCAAGCCAGAAACCTAAGAGACATGTTTATTTCTTTCTCTAACCCCCGCTCTAACTAACGCATCAGAAGACCTTGGTTTTAACACTGAAATCTATCATTAATTTCTCCAGTTCTCTCCATCTCTGCTACCACATGGTACAAGTTTCTATCATCTCTCATCTACCAATTGCAATATCCTACACTAACTAGAATCTCTGCTTCTTTTGTCTCACTCCAATCCATTTCTCTACAGAGCAGCCAGAGTAACTGCTTCAAAATGTAAAACACATTGTGTCACTCCCCTGCTTAAATACTTTCAAGGACTTTATTATATTTACAAAAAAGTCCAAACTCCTTATGATTGTTTAAAAGTACCTTAATAATCTGGCCCTTGCACAACTCTCCAATTTCACCTCATACTTTTTTCTTCCTTGAATACTATGGCTTTCTTGATAACTAACTTTCCTTCTTATTTACATCTATCTCCTTCTTTACTTAATTCCTTCTAATAGAGAAGTACATTATTTTATTTTACTTGCCTTTAAACTCTCTTTATACCTTTTTGTCTATCATAGCATTAAAAATTTTGTAATTCCTCCCACTATGAAAGTATATTATTTAACTCATCTTTAAACTCCCTTAAGAATTTTAAGTTAATCACATAGTAGGGACACATAAAAGTTTGTATTCTGATTTGAATTCTTTCTCCTCCTTCCTCTCAACATAACTAAAATCATCCATAATATGTTTTATAAAACGTTTGGCTTGCTTATTCTGGGCTATAACCTTCTGGATACTGTTTATGAACCTTTACCACTCTTTCACCTTTGTCTCTAATTAAGAGCTTCTCCATCATATTTAAGAAAGAGACAGGGGTTCGGGGAAGAGAGAGAGAGAGACAGAGAATGAATTTGTAATTCAGCTCAAACGTCATACTTTAGATCCTCAGATTATAACCCTGGAAGTAAAAGCATGATTTCTTTTAAGCTTAGTCTTATTCTAATGTGTCACATCATAAAATAGACCGCAAATTTTTCTGTAGCCAATAATAAGCAGTTTTGTTATTGTTTCACTATACCAACATAAGATCAAGAGTCCAATCATGAGCTGATAAAATTGGACCATATTATATAGACTTCTTGACAATACTGGAATATGATACTTCTAAGTAGTCACAAAAAATTATCTAATTTAAACATCTCCAGTACAGCAAAAATAAATTTAAAAATTTACTTTGTGATTCTCACCTCTGGTTTCCGTTCTTGAAGCTTACTATATTGTAAATTTGCATCACCTATCTCTTCCACAGATTGGGGCATAACTGATAAGACTTCCATAGCCTCAGTAACAAATGTATCAATTTCATGTAAATGAGCTGAACAGGTAACATTGAAATATAAGAAATATTATTACCACCAAAACTATTCAATTACATAACTTCTAAATCAAGGCGTGTTAGAGTAATCTAATACATTAAACTCTAAATTATCATTTGCTTTCAGAAATAATTTCAAAATGTATAATAAGCAAAGAAATTTCTTCTCTTGGAAGTTTAGCTGTTTCACATTGAACTTAAACATTTTGAGCAGAAAGTTAAAATATACTCATTCTTAGTAAATTTTTACTCAAAATTGGGAACATTTTCGGTCTTTTAAATATTATACTAAAACACCTCAGTTTAAAGGAAAAAAAGAAACAGTGCAGTGTTCTGGAAAACAGTAGTTATTTGAAGAGATAAAGAGAAACACATTATACCAGAATTACCTACTGAATTACCTACTGAGAAATCAGTAAAATATGCCACAAACTGATGCTAGCTCAGACTGCAAATAATAAAAATGCCTTCATTTTTAGACCTCTTAAGAGTTAAACATCAACTTTCCTATTTTATTAAACTTATCATTTCAAGCATATTACATTCATAACACTTTCTTTTTATCAGTTATTTTAATTATTGGAATTCATATTTCATAACTATCAAAGTACATGCATCTCTATATACAATTAAGTAAAAATTAAAATTAAAAAGTATATTTACCCTGGATGGACTTCTTCAAAGAAAGAACAAGCATATCAAATAGCTTCTGGATGAGATCATCAATCACAGTCTTCACAGGGCTACAATTAATATTTAAACAATCTACCTTGACAGCACTGAAAAATGCCAATGGACATATTTGGACATGAAAAAGTCTAATTAGAGGAAAACAGTCTCATTATAATATCAGGATTTTGTGTCATACATTTTAAAATGTAACTCAAAAGTGTGATCTTCAAGCACATTTAAATTTCATTTAGTAAATAGTATGTGCCTTACACGTACTATTATAAAGTTTTTCATTAAACAATGATTTTGTTAGAAATATTGCCGTTTTTATCATCTATTGTATCAGTTAACCAAAAAAGGGCAGCAATTACGAATTGCTGAAGTAGCAACATGAATATATTTAAATATTTCCAAGCTTACTTGTCATAGCATATAATTTTTTAAAAATATTTATAAAATAAATGTATCCTGTAGTCCAAGTACAAACAATAACGATAAGGAAAATAAAATAAAAATACAACCTGAGTATAGATTATTAAGGTACTAAGAAAATAAAACAATAAGATACTATTTTATACCTATCAAACTGACAAAATTGTAATGAATTGTTAATTCATATATTCAATTGTGTGTGCAAAGAGAACTCTCAAAATTGTTGGTAGAAGAATAAAATAATGCAACTTTTGTGAAAAGCAATTTACCAATATGTATCAAATAATTTTAAAATAGGCATATCCTTTATCTTAATAACTTCAACTTCGGAATTTATCCTAAGGAAATCTTCAGGCAGACTCCTAGATTATACACAAATATCTTCATCAAAGTATCAATTAAAATAGTGAAAAGCTAGAAACAAGCTAAATGCAGGAATGGCTAAACAAATTATTGTATATTTATACAATTAAAAATCGCATTTTTGAGGACTAGGCAATAACATGGCAAAATATCAATGAAATAGTGTTAACTAAAAATAGCAGCATATACGGGGTGGCCAGTTGGCTCAGTTGGTTAGAGAGAAGTGCTCACCACACCAAGGTTGTCAATTCGATCCCCACATGGGCCACTGAGCTGCGTCCTCTACAACTAGATAGAAACAACTACTTGACTTGGAGCTGATGGCTCCTGGAAAAACACACTGTTTTTCAATTAAAAAAAATAATAATAAATAGCAGCATATGATATTATCCAAATTTTGTAAGTATATGTACTAATGTGTCCAACACATCAAATCTTAACAACAGTTGCCACTGTATTTTTCTGTATTTAAAAAAAAAAGTAAAACAAATGTAATGTTAATCATCAGAAAAAAGGCATAAATTTTTATGAACATATTCTCTGTATAGTACTCAATGCAAATTGTAATGTTCTACACAAACAGATGTTGAACAAGACTTGCTCATCTGAGGAAAAACTCATATTTAAATTATACAAGCTTTAAAAAAAAGTATGGTAATTTTGGTCACAAAGATTATTTAGAAAACTACTTGACCTTTTTAAGGCATACAGCCAGGTAATAATCTTAGAAATCAAGTTATAAGTATTAAATATAATTTTTTTTTTTTAGCTGAGCCATCCTGCCACCTGTTGGCAGCTCAGCGGCAGCTCAGCTCGGGCTGGGAATTGAACCAGCAACCCTGTTGCTCAGAGCTCACACTCTTGAGTGAGCTCTTAACCAACTGAGCCACTCGGCTGGCCCTAATTTTATTTTTTAAATATACTTTTTTCTTAAAGCTTCATTTATTTATTCCCAATCACCCACTAACTGGAGAAATTTAAACTCCAGTTCTTAACCACCAAAATATATAAGAGCCAATTTGCCTGATACATGAAGTTTATGTGATTTTTGAAATCCTGACACATAAAGTATAAAGATTTCTAATATTTGATACATGAAGATAGATGATTTTGGTAAACCTAAAAAATTATATTATGCTGTATTTTGCTAATGAATTAACATAAAGTGATATGATGACAACAGAGTTGTACTCATTGACTATAGAATCCTGTGGAGAAGACTAACATTCACCTCTCACTTGAAAATATTGACAACATGCAACTGAGCCTCTATCCTATAGATAGAATGGGACAGCCATAGATAGCCTACCCAAACATTACATCCTTAATACAGTATCTGAAATACATCATTAGAATGTTTTTTCTAATCATACAGCATATTTCCAAAAAGTATCCATAAAATATCTGTGTGTATGTATGTGTATATTAGCCTAGATGAATACATGGTAATTTATTAGCAAGAAGCAGCAAAATGAAAAGTGGAATGTGAGACAGGTATTCTTTTTGTTTTGTTTAGCTTTGGCAAGGAAGCATGACTAGGAAAGCTGCCTACAGTAAGGGACAAACAAACAGCAGTGGTAGCAGTAAAGGTCCTTGAACAGTCAGGTGACAGCATAAAGTCAAATAAGATGGGCAAGATTGGGATCAAAGACAGTATGCAGCAGAGATTAGAAACCTCATATAAAACATTACAAGAGCACTATCTTTCCCTTACTTCAAATTAACATTAATGGAACTATCATTATCCCAATCATCTAAACTCAATCCCTCAAATTATTTGTCTCTTCTCTACTTCTCATTCCTCATCTTCCTCTACAAAGACCTCCCGATACCTCATATTTCCTCCTCCCCATTTTGAGTACCAACAACTTAATTGTTACTGGTCTTCTGGATGATGACCAACTAACAAGCTCTCTTCCTCTAATCTCTTCATTCAACCATGAAGTCATTATTTCCAAATTAACATTCCTAATGTACAGCTTTGATACTGACACACTTCTGTTTATAAACCTTCAACAGCAAACCATTCTAACATGAATAAAATCCAAATTCTCTAATTTAAAATGTAAGACTCTCCCAAATCTGTACCTATCTACCCCTTTCCAGGAGCATTGTGTCTTATCTCTAATAAAACCTTAACTCTAGTCAAATTTTCAATTAACCAACTACTTATTTTCAGCATATAAATCCCTCTCCTGAGAGGCTCTGCTTTAACCTCTAATTCACCTTTCTACTTGTCAAATCCTAGTTCAAGTATTTTTATCTTAACAAAATGTTCCCTGATTTTCCTGCCCTAAATGGATGGGAAGTCATCATCCTGTAAATCTCCATAGCCTAGTTTAATCTCTAATATGGAATATAAACTGTTCTATCTGGTAGTTATAATAACAATTAATAACCATTAGCATTTATATTGAGAATTTACCCTATGCCAGTAATTTACATGAAAATTACTCACTTAATCCTCAAAACACTATGAGATAAATACTATAGTTCTAACTATTTTAAAGCTGAGGAAACTGATGCTCAAAGAGTCTAAATGACTGTCAAAGTCATGCAGCTGGTAAGAGCCACGTCCCTCCAGAGCTAATTCTCTTAACCCCTGTGTGTACTTGACTTAATCATCAAATATACTTGACTTATTGCACTACAGGAGAGCAAGCAATTTGATCTCAGGTACTCTGCCTTTGTCATCTTCATACTCCTATAGGACAAGACTGTATGTATTACAAAAGCTCATTAAATATTTATTGAAAAAAATCAACAAATGAATTAATAAAAGTGATATTATCCTTTACAGATAATATATGCACAATTAAACAAGGCCTTTCATCAAGCTTATTACAAAGAGTAGTTCCAGTTATACAAAATTTCAGATAGTGAGGGGGATATATTCTCAAGTATCTGGGTTGTGAGATGCCCCTCAGAGGGTTTCCTCCACATTTAGGGCAATACTAGATGCAGCACTATGTTGTGTGCCTCCCAGGGCATTCTGAAAGGAAGCAGAGCAGTACAAAAGCAGAGTCAAATGTCATTACTTTTACATCCTCGAGTATGCTCTCAGCAGTCACTTCTTACCATTCCTAAACTGTGCCTATGCAGATCATATGTTAGATCCTCATGCCAGAAATGAATAGAAGCTTCTTCCTTCAATTGAGTCATCCAACTAGGTTCAGCTAACAGAGCCTCTAGAAGAGAAGCTTCTAGTCTCAGCAATGCCCTACTCAGATGATGCTCAAGTGTCATGGCTGAGCTCTAGAGGAGGCACAAAACTAACCTGACTTCAGTGCCACTAAGTGAAGAGTTCCCTTACCACCCACAGCAGAACTGTTAGGGCGCATAAGTCCCACCGCTTTAACTTCTAATACCTTGGAAGTCGTTCTACTTCTTTTCCCTTTATTTTCAGTGCTTTAAAATTTTTCTCCCAATCATGAACAGTAGAAAGATGCTTTTCCACTAAAGCTTCCATATCAACTTGCCCAATGACAATCCATTCCTATTCAAAGAGTGAAAAAGATTATTAAAGAAATAGAACTAATAAATTAACATTTTAAAGATTAGAGTCCAATTATTCATAAATATTAGTGTCCAACCAATAAAAAGGGGCAAAGATTAATGCATTTAAGTTAATTTCAACATAAGTATGTAAATATAATCATTACTGTGTAGTCTAAAGAATGAATAGGAAATAAATGATTCAATACAAAAATACAGTGATCATAAAAGTTTTCTGGGGGGGCGGCCAGTTAGTTCACCTGGTTAGAGCACGGTGCTCATAACACCAAGGTTATGGTGTTATGGGCCACTGTGAGCCGTGCCCTCCACAATTAGATTGAAACAGCTACTTGACTTGGATGATGGATCCTGGAAAATCACACTTAGAAAACAAAAACAAAAAAACAAACAACAAAAAAAGTTTTTTGAAGAGACTGAAAAAACCCTTTCTTTAGATTCTCTTCTCAAATTTGATGTACACAAAGATAGAATCACTTCTTTAAAGCCAAGAGCCACTACAGGCTACAAATCTGAAAATATCCAGATTGAATAGATTTTAGAAATCTAAAAGGCAGAAGGATCATAGTGGCAGTTAAGAAACTGGTCGAATGCTCAGTCATAATCTCAGGATCAATATAAATGAGCAATGAATGCATTTAGAGTTTATCTTTGGAGTCAGCTGGTAATGATGCATTGAAGCAAAAGTAAGATGTTAAAACATCTCAATTTCATTAACTTTTAAGGCTTCCCTCCAAGGATTTCTCTTGCTCCAAAGAATATAGAACAAGATATACTTTCCTGAAAGGAATTACAATTGACACAACAGAGTCATGTCACATTCCAAGTTGACAAAAAAATTTTTGAAAGTTAGTTTCTCAATTTTCATATAGTCAAAGACAAAAAAATAGATTTTTTTTAATTGGGGAATTGGGGGGATGAGAACAGTGCTGGGGAATTGGGGGAAGGGGAACAGACAAGTTGCTGTCATTTTGTTCTTCAGTCTAGTTGTGGAGGATGTTGCTTCACTGGCCCAAGTTGGCACCATCATTGCGCTCTTCCCAGGTGAGGCAGATCAGTCGCCGGCTTCTAGACGGCTGCTCACGGTGGCTTGAGGGCCGCTCATGCTGGCTGCTGGCTACACACGGTAGCCCATGGCAACCCACTGCCACAGGGGCTGCAGCCTACGCCCGTTGCCGGCTACTCACGGCAGCCCAGCTCCAGGTTGAGCTGTTGTTCAGCATCTCAGCTGTAGAGGGCAGTGTCACTGGCCCTCATATGTGGGATCCGAACCAGGGCCCTCTGGCGTCCCAAGCCAGCTCTTAACCAACGCGCCACTCGGCCGGACCCCAAAAATAGATTTTTAATGTAACTTTTTCTCGTCTGTGGCCAAAATCTACAATAGCTTGTATAAGAATTCTAAACTCTGGCTCTGTAGTTTGCCGTATGTTTATTTTACACCACAGAAGATAAACTATTGATTTGCACATTTAAAACTAATTCAATCAATCAGACAAAATATTATAAAAGAAAGATGGAAAACTATATGTTCCATACCTTATGTTGGTGTAAAACAGCTGACAATCTCCTAAAAAGATCTTCTGCTTTGCTGAAAATAGTCAGGAATCCACTTGCATTTCTATCAATCATAATAGAAAAAATAGATGCATCTCCTGTCTCACCCACTCCCTTAAACTGATTAGGAATGCCAATGAATCTCTTCATTTCTCTGTAATATTTAGCCCGGATTTCTTCAAAAGGAGGCCTGAATTGTAACCGTCCTTGTCTGAAAGTAAAGAAGTAACTTTAAAATATAAATTACTAGAAAATTATAGATTGAAAATTAAACTGGGTTTCAAGAAATCTTACTTGTACGTTAAGTCTATATTGATTTCTGGCAGATTTTCATTAAGTGCTTCTAAGCCCATCTGATACTGGTGTTCCAGAGCTTTGTAGAGTTGATGATTCCAGTGCTGCTTCCACGCACGCATGTCACTTGCTTGGAATCCCTAATGTGTTATATTTACATTTTTATTTAAAATTAGGCAGTAGAATGGGGTTTTCATTTAATGCTTTCATATCACATAAAGCAAAATTATAAGCAATAAGAAAACTTCTTTTAAATATCTTAAAACTTGCAGCTCCTTAATTACTATTTGTGGTATGAGAGTTTATATAGAGTCAAATATGAAAATCTCCAATTTTCATGTTTCTAAATAGAATACAAAAAGATCAGTAAAATTTTTTAAATCAAGTTAATACTAAATAGATTTTATATTTGGATTTTATGATAACAGTAACAGGGACAAGTTTTTTTGTTAACTTTTTTGTCCTTTTTCAAAAATCCCCATCAAGTATAACGCTTTTCCTCCTTTCTCACTCCCTAAATAATCTAATGCACATTTAAAAACATGTTAAATTTAAAATATTGAAATGCTCAGTATAGAGTATATGCTCTTTGAGTCCATATAACCATAAATATATGAATTCTAATGCTTTAACTTTTGTTTTTCCTTAAAGTTCTAAGAACTGAAAAATATATGTAAATGTGTAAGACACCTAACTCATATTCAACCAAAATCCCATCACCACCTACTATGCAGCAGGCTCTGTGCTAGCCACTTTTGTATACATCATCTCATATCAAAATGTATACAGAACTAAAATTTTGCCCCCAAAAACAAAAACATTCTGAAATAGTTATTTTAATCATGAGGCTTCTGCCTAACCTTAACTTTGTGTTCTACATATGTCACAATCACCTAAAAGAAAACTAACAAATGACAGATATTTAAGCACCAAGACAGAAAAAGCTATAAACTCTGAATTGAGGGATTTGGCATTCTGAAAGACAAATAGAAACTTTTTATATTTTTAAGTGTAAATGCATTGTTAATTTATGGTCTTTATGCATAAATCAGTCATTCTAAATTTATTAGGAATTCATTAGTTAAGATTTATAAATAAACTTTATGAACTTTTCATCAATTCATATGTTCACATTCTGAAAAGATCATATTTCAAAGTGTAGACACAAAGTAAAATATAGTCTACCTGTGCTTCTACACTTGCTAAGCCAGTTCTCAATTCTTGTAGTCCATCTTTCCAACGCTGTTGCTGCCGAAGCAGATCAATATTCATCAGGGTTACCACCTGTTAAAAATGAGAGCATAATAGTCTCAAAGTATCACCTTAAAAATGGTAAATTTTCAGTGGAAAAAAGTAGACAGACACCACCTTCACCAAGTGATCAAGGTGAACTCAACCTGAAATAAGACAAATCAACACCTGACAGATGCATTGAGAAAGGCAAAACATCATTTCTGTGGTATTCTTGCCAAAATTGCATAATCCTAATCTAATCATGAAAAAACATCATATAACCCAAATTGAGAAATATTCTAGAAAATAACTGACCAGTACTCACCAAAAGTTTCAAGGTTATGAAAAACAAGGGAGGAAGAGGAGGCTACAGAGACTCAACAACTAAATGCAAAGTAGGATCCTGGATAGGATTCTTGAAAAAAAAAAGACATTAGTGGAGAAGCTGTAAAATTCAAAAATGGTCTATTGCCTAGTTTTGATAAATATACTATGGTTACTCGTATATAAGTTGTTAATAACAGAGGAAGCTAAGTGAAGGGTAAGTATTCTCTGTTCTATTTTTGCAATTTAGGTCTCATATTATTTCCAAATAAAAAGTTATTTAAAATTATATCCTAAATGACTTTTAAACAATACTCTTCATAGCTTATTCAATTTTTATATATAAAGTTTACCTTTTCACAAAATGTAGTATGCCATTTTCTCAGTTTTCTATTTTCAGTGGCAAGTCGTTCAGCAGCATTTTGGAGTTTTTGAATATAGCCTTCTAATTCTTTAGGATTATCCCAAGTGATTTGTGACTTTCCCCCACTTCCTGCTTTTGAATTCTAAGGTACAATAAATGACATTTAGTATTTAAATGTACTGTATTTATTTTTTCAAAAAGATTCAATAATCTACATCACAAGTCCAACTATCCCTAACACCAACCTGCAATAAAAAGGGCATATTTTTTCATTTTATAAAGAGCGTTTTCATTTTAAAATAGCATTTTTCCCTTTTATAAATGATCAGGCAATCTGGACAAGACTGAGTAGCCCCATTCCTTCCAGATTCTCCCTCAGACAAGTAAAAATCCCTGGACATAACATAACAAATAAGGACAGGAAGAGTGAAAGGTAGAAATTAAGAAGAGAGCCAGCCAACAAACCTTGGGAATGGAGGAACAAGACACTGGGGTCTCCTTACTGTCCCCCATGTATCCAGGACAGGACACTGGAGAAGGCCCCAACCTGGAACTACCCCCAGGGACAGACAAATAAAGCTCCAGAAGAAGCCCATTCCCTCTTGCCTGAGAATTAGGAAAACGGAGGCCTAACAGCAGAAAACCATTCTAGCAACACACACACAACTCCAGTCACCACCAATGAAAAAACAACCCCCTCTGCAATTTTAGTGGGGCCAAGCTGCTTTTCCAGCACCTTTTTTTTTTTTGCAAAAGCAGGCAGTACTCCAACTCCCCTGCCAATAAAAGGTTGGCAGGGCTGAACTACCCTTCTTGAGTTTCTTAAATCATATTTGATGACTGAAGCAAAAACTACAACACCATCTATTGTGGTGCACTACATATGTAAAGGGATTACTTAAGACACATGAAAGCGTGGTGAGACATATAGAAGAGCTATGCTTCACTTGAAGTGTTAAGGCATAGCAAGTTTCTGGAATACAGCAGACCCTCAAATAGCTGATGAGCAAATGAACCTAAATAATTATATAGTAAATTCAATAAAACACTCTGTGAATCAGTTTAAAAGCATTTATTCATAATTACTACATACAACTTACTATTGTAGTGCTTAAGGGTATGAAAATAGGGTGCCTGCCTTCCAATACGGTAAGTGGCCGGAGAATTACAAAGAATCTTAGTGTGCTCTCTCCTTCTATCTTAGTTTTTTATCCACTACTATGTCTGATTTGATATGTTAAATATAATTATTTAGTTCTCACAAGCCAATTTCTCAAAATAAGTTTCCTCTTCAAAAATATCAAGATTTTATTTTGAACACATTTATTAGAAAAGAAAAGGCTCTAAAGGTTTACAATTAAGACATAATTTATATATATTAGGTGAAGAGGTAAAAATAATAAAGTATGGTTCCATTTCCAAAAGAACACTTATAAATATGCATAGAAAACAGTTTAAATAGCCTGTTAAGAATGGTCATCTCTTGGTGGTACAATTATAAGACCTTTTTTTCTTTTTGTTTACCTGTATTTTTGAAACTTTCCATTATAATAAACTTGTATAGAGCTTGGCAATCAGAAAAAAATGTTTTTAATAATATCTGTAAGTCTTTTATAGGTTTTATATAACTTTATATAGAGATTTCATGTTTATATAATTTCTAGTTAATTTTAAGCCTGAGAACTAGTGTGCAAGAAAGCGTTAACATAGCAAGTCTGACTGTTATCCCTTAAAAGTCCTGCTAAAAAGACAGGACTGTAGAGGACATCTGGGAACTTGGAATTTGGGAGGGTTCCAACCCCCAACTTTTAAGAATGGCTAACTGTACCTAAACAATATGGCATTATGTTGCACACTTGATTTTCTTCTGGGAACTTGGAATTTTGATACTTACTAGGCTGAAAATTCCTACAAGCCCCCAATAAAAACCTGAGCACTGAATTGATAATGACCTTCCCTAGTAAGACAGCATTTCACTGTGTTACAACTCATTGCTGGGGGAGTTAATCATGCCCTGTGTGACTCCTCTGGCAAAGGACTCAAAAGCTCACGCCTGGTTTCGCCAGGCATTCACCCCATGCACTTTACCCTTCGCTGATTTTGCTTTGCATCCTCTCGCTATAACAAATCATTGCTGTGAGTACAACTGCACCGAGTCCTGTGCGTCCTCCAAGGAAATCACAGAACCTGGGGGTAGTCTTGAGGACCATGACACAACTAATTATCTACTTTCAGATAAAAGAATAAAAGGGCATATTTCTCTTCTACATAATTTCCCAAATATTTCATGCTTGTGAAGACTAAAAATGTAGATTTCAAAAAGTTAACAGTCATAGTGTGACATACAGTTTAAAAACTATTCTGGGTTTTCCTAATTTCATACATTGTGGATATTTCAATAAGCACAAATAGCAAATAATCTTAAATTATAAAATCAGGAGCAATGAAACAACACTAAAGAGTCTTGTGTATAAGGATTTCACACTTCAGTGAGTAAATAAATGTAGTGGCATACAAATTGTATATTATATATATTAATTCCAACGATCAAAATCAGCATCAAAATATGTGAAATGTTATAACCATTTAAATCTACATTTAGAAAAAAATGTTACCTGTTAAAAGTGAAGTAAGTCATTGGGGAGCAAAATAAAGCCTTAGATCAATGGCTATATTAAGCTGAAGGGTATACTAAAATACTAACACATAAACATTTCACGTGTAAAATATAATTATAATAACATGAAAAGTCCATTTACCTTAATTATCTGTTCAAATGCTAAGGCAGATTGTAACATCATTGGTCTCTGACTTTGAATCATTTGTTGATCGATAGAATTGTAAAAATGTGCCACCTACGAAGTAAAAGTCCAATTAGCAAAAATCAATAATAAACAGCACACTTAATTTTTAATTTTACTTCATTTCTAACTGTCTGAATGGAAATAATTTTTCTCAATTCTAAAATTTAACAAAAAATAGTTTTTCATCTCCATTATTGGATTTATGCATGTGTTATTATACAAAATCAGCAAATATGTATTGAGTTCCTATAATTTGCCAAGCCATGCCCCGGAGGCTGATTAAACAAAGATTATAAAACATAGTCCCTGTGACCAGAAGTACACAGTCTTATATGGGAACCTAAAGAAAATATGTAAAGCATGTTAAGTGCTAAAAAAACTGAATTCTTTATCCTTGCAATTCTCTAAACCTGCTCCTTTCTTTTTTCAGTATATGACACAATGATTTATCCATTTCTCAGATCAAAAAACAAAAACAAAAAAACTTTGAGTTGTCCTTACCATTCTCTCACATTGACTATATACTTTAAAATATATATTGAATCCAACCATTTCAGCTACCTCCATCAATCCCACCCCAATCCAAGCACCCTCGTGTCTTGACAACACCAATGCAACAGTTTCCGAACTGGTCTCTGTTTTCAATCAGGGTCTCCTGTTGTCTATGCAAAGCCCTTAAAGCAGCCAGAGTGGTCCATTTTTAAATATAAATCATATCATACCTTTTGCTTATGCAAAACCTTCCAATGACTTCCTAATACATTTGAGAATAAAATCCAAAATTTCCAAACTCTTACTAAAACCCTCCCATGGTTTTCCAATATACTTACGAATGAAATGCAAATTCAAAATCCACATCCTTACCTGGCACAAACATTTTACATGAACTGGCCCTCAGCCTTACCACCAATCCCTCCCTCATTGCACTGCAGCCAGATTGGCCTCACTGCTGTTATTCTAACCTACCAAGTGAGTCTTTTCTCAGGAACTCTGCATATGTCATTCACTCCAACTGACTGCAATACTCTTCCTCCAGATATCTGCATGGTTCTTTTATTCACTTTATAATATGTCTCCTCTCAAACGTTACCTGTTCATCAAGGCCTACCCTGATCACTCGGTATAAAATAGCAGTCTTTCTCACAACCTTTTATTACATTTTACTTTTCTTTAAAGTACTTATCACTACCTAACACTGTATCATTTATCTATGTCTTTAATATCTATCTCCCGTGCTGGAATGATAGCTCCAGGAACGGTGCCTAGCAAATAGCAGGCACGCAATAAATGTCTGTTGAATTAGTAAATGAATAAAAAAATAGGGATATCTACAAGGTACAGTAGTGTACAGGAGAGGACACTGTCAACTCTGTTGGGGAAAAAGGAGATATTCTGTAAAGAAGATAAGTAGATACCATCAAGAGGGTCTAAGGAATTTAAGAAGACTATCTTTTAATTTTTGTCTCCCCAGCATCTCACAAAATTCTTGGCACAGAGTAAATATCTAAAAAATATTTAACTAATTTTATAGAGTCCTCTTCTTTCCACTAATATGCATTAAAATGTGCTTTATTTGGTGAGGGATACCCACTCTACATATTCTGTACCACAATAGCAGTCCAACAAAAAGCCCAATGAGAAAAACCAGAACCAACAGAACATGTACTATTACAACAATTTGGCCCTACTGCTCTCTATCCAACATCCCACTTCACACTCCCTATGCTAGCTAAATATCTGCTCATAAGTAAAGGTATATACCGGGGATGCCAAAAAAAATGCATACAAGTGGACACTTTGGTCAACGTTGCTCAAGCAGTAGTTCACCATAATCAGGAGTGTCTGGATGCTGATGGTAACCACTTTGAGTACTTCTTATAATTGCAGAAGTCAAACGTGACTTGTATTCATCTTTTGTTATCTGTATATATTATTACAATTTTAATACAGTTTTCCTTTCTTAAAATGTGTATACATTTTTTTTGGCACCATCTGTATAAGTAAATTTTCCCAGTTGTTTGTCCAGAGGTAAATACAAATACTATATGTCCATTCATTCATCTCTTGAGCTCCTTTTGTGTGAGACTAAATACTTAGGATACAAAAGACAGCAAGCCTCTCCGCTCTTGAATATGTAGTCCCTCTCTGAGATGATCACCCACCCCAACCCCTGTGCTCTTGAGACTCTTCCAGTCTCACATCAAACATCATTCCTCTGTAAAGGTTTATCTGATGCTACCTCTACCCCTATCCAGGAAAATAATTGAACATTACCACCTCTGTGATTTCACAGGATTTTCTGAACATCTATAATAGAGTAGTCATAATATATTAAGTATTGTTTTCTATTTGATAACATCTGTCATCACTATACGAATTGTAATAGAATAAATAAGGGCTTTGGAGTCAGAGAGACTTGGTATCAAGTACCAGCTTTATAATTTACTAGTTGTGCGGCACTGGGAAAACTATGTTACAAATCTAATCCCCAATTAGGTTAGTGATGGGATTAATTGAAACAACATAAATAAGGCATCTCTAGGAGGCTTGCTACTTAATGAGAACTCAGTGTTTTGTTCGCTGTCTCCCGCTAGACCAATGGTTCTCAACCACAGTTAATTTGCACCCAAGGTGACATTTGGCAATGTTCAGAGATTTTTTTTTTTTTGATTGTCAGGACTAGACACATGCTACTGGCCAGAGATGCTGCTAAAACTATCCCACAATGCATCCATCCCACAAAAAAGAATTGGTCCAAAATGTCAAAAGGGCTGAAGCTGGGAAACCTTGCACCAGAGTATGAGAGCAATATATTCATTTTTATATCCTCACTACACTGTGACTGACAGAAAAGGTGCTCAGTTAAATGAAAGAATAAGTGAAAGACAAAATACACAAAATACTGTCCCTGCCCCCTAAAATCTAATAATCAACTAAGAGAAAAAAAATGAAAAAAAATAAAAAGGAGTAATTTGCACACTGCACACAGAATTAAGAACAATCAACTAAAAGAAGCCACAACAAAGAGAATTTTGAGTTGGGAATTAAAGGATGATTTTGAGTTTTCTAATCAGAGGGAACAGATATCAGTACATGGAGACATGTTCATACATGAGCTAAGTTTTCATATTACTGAAGCACAGGGTGCGACTTGTGGGGAAGGTCATAACCAGTAAGGTTAGTTAGGGCAAAAATAAAAAGAGCCTTGTGTACCATGCTAAGTAGATAGACAAGGAGGTGATAATAGTTAGTTTCAAACAGGTAAATGATATTATGTCAATATGCTGAACAGGCAGACCCAGGAAATGACCACGAACAGAGACCAGTTTATCAGCCTGGTAATTCCCTAAGAATCTTTCCTGCAAAAACAGGCAGAGGACCCTTTAATTAGAAGGCCCTTTAAGACCCATGCAAGTAACATGAAAAAAAGAGAAACAATATTCTATTTTTCTAAATGCTTTTAAAATGAAAAAGCAATAATAATAACAATGAAAACTTAAATTAATAAATTTCTATATCGTTTACAAAGCAAATTTTGTAACGTAGTCACTTAGCAAACCATAATTTCACATGACTTAATGGTGTTATTTTATTAGCTTAAAAAAATCAAAAGTAGAAAACAAAGCCCTTAAAATATTATAATACAGTGAACTCAGAATAGCCATGTTTTCAAAAATATAATATAATTTCATACTTGTTTAAGAATAATTGCTTGCTTGCAGAATTTCTGTGCAATGTTTGCAACTTGTTGTATTTTGGCAGGGATAACAAAGCCAAGTGCAGAAAGCTGACGCACTTCCCTCAGAAGAATCACCAATCGATCTGAATAATGTACTTTTAATGATCCATCATTAGGATCCAATTCCATAATTTGACTATTAGCCTCAATACTACAAAACAAAAAGAATAATTTAAGTTTCATGTTCTCAATCCTCTGACTGAAGAAAAATACAAGTTTTTACAACTTTTCTGTAGATATAACATTAACTCAAAGTAAAAAAATTATTATTTTCAAGTTATCTTTTTCACATAGCATCTCACAATTTGGATCTTGATAATAAAGTGTAATATCTAAAATATAACAATATTTCAACCAAACAGTTTTGAAGTCAGAAAAATCAATCCCTTAACCTATAGCTAAGACTCAAAACTATGTAATATCCACCATAAAAAGAAAAGGTTTTGATTCATTGTCTAAGAGGTGCTTTATATATATACATATACACATATATATACACATATACATATATATAAATACATATATAAATACACATTTTTTTAATTAGCCTACTTAGTTCTTTAAATGCTTTTATTACAGGATCAATGATAAACATCAAAACGGTAGGGGTAGTGACAGTCAAATGTTTTATTACTCTTTGTTTTACTACCTAAGGACTGTCCTTTCTTGTGCTGCTTGTAAAGGCTACAACAGCAAATTTTACATTGGGGCACTCTAGTGAACATTGATTGTAAAAACATTGAGCTAAATTAAGAATAATGTATTATATTTTCATGATTTGTCTTTTAGGATCATGTTTATATCATTTTCATTCTTTAAAATCATTTTCAAAATTAAGAGAACTAGCAGGTCTTAGAAAGTAAGCTACTGAAAAGAAAAAGAACAAATCTATTCAGCCTATTTAATAACACATAAAACAAAGCATAATAAAAAGTAGATACTTTAAAATGGCGTAACATAAATATTTAGCCTAAACATTCCTATATAAACATAAATAAAGCCTGTCAGAAAATTATTGTGACCCTTTTTGTCTTTACTGAAAACTAATCTTCAAATTGAGTTTCTACATACCAGTATATCCTGAAATATATTCCAAAACATACTGATTCTATGTGACAATAATGGGTGTAAAAAAAAAAAAAAAAAAAAAAAGTGGGAGTCAGAAAATTTCATCACCAAATGGGAAACACTGGGTTGAATAAAGCTAAATAGGCTTCTTTAGAGCAGGTCTCATCCTTTGGTATGCTACCATACACAATGGATCACCACTGGTGCTACAGTGATACAAGTATGCGTACTTTCCAAAACTTGCTAAGTAAAGAAAACTACTTTTTTTTTGGCCTGGAACACCTCTCATATTTTAGATTCAGAGTATAAAGAGAAAGAGTTAAATGGAATGAAGTTATAATCATTATGCCCTAGCAGCTTTTGGTTTTCTGTTCTTCCTCTACAACCAAAATGCAAGGTAAAGGGGAAAAAAAAAATTATTCACTCAGTTTAAGAAGCTACCACTTTTGGCCAAATTATCCTGTGTAGCAACATAGGGAAAATAAACAGAATTTCATATTACAAACAAAGTTACTTTTAAAAAGTAACAAGTTTCTAAAAATACAGACAATAACATGCTAAGGAAAATTTACCTGAACAAAGAATCATAGTTTTTCTACACCATCCATTTTAAAGATACATTAGAATAATTAGGTTGACCAATTAAATTACGTTCAATATAGCTCAGTAAATATTTACCAAACCCTTACTATGTTGGGTGGGCATCGTGAAGAAATATTCCCAACCACAAGTTTAAAATTAATTAAATGGAACAGTTTAAAACGTGTGTGTATGTGTATGTTTGTGTGTGCATATATGATATTAATGTAAAAAGGTAGAAAAACATATATGAATACCAATAACAAGAAACCATGGAAGAGGGAAAGCCTAATAACAAAACAGGAAACAGTACTTCTGAGTAATACACATGAGAAACAAGGGGAAGGCAGTCAACTAACTGTATCGTAAAAGGTTTCCAACCTTAATGACTTAAAAGTTGATAAACAAAAGCTAACAAAAAAAAAACTTTAAGGAACAGCAGCAAGTTTGGAGAAAGGACAAAGCAGAGATGATTAATTCCATGTTGTAATTTGGATTAATAACATAAGAAAAAAGATTCTCGTGTAGATTTCACTTTTCAGTATATTTATACTTACCACAAACCAGATCTAGAATCAGACAACCCAGACTGAATATCCCTGGACCAATCATCAAATTGTTCTTGCTCATACAGTTTAAACTGGTCTAAGAGATCTTCAGCATTTCGATGGAAAGATCGAAATTCTGACAAGTCAGACAAAAGAGCCTCTGCTATCTTGATAGCATCGTCCACCTTAAAAAGCCAAATTACAAAAATATTTATTATTTAAAATCTAACAACATTAGCATAAAATAAGCCTGCTTCATCTGATCTTTGATTCAGAAATTATTTTCCCATTCATCTATAAACGGTAAAATAGAAGATTTGCCAGTGAATATAAGAATATCAACACCTACTTTGCTTCTGAATTATACTACCTCAGTATAGCAAAACACAGAGGATGCCCATAAAAGGCATAACGTGAGAAGTAAGAAGGAAACTTCAGCGAATCTCCAAGAATTCAGCGATACTCCTAAACATGTTAAGTAGTAATGGGTCCTTTGCTAAATACTCTCGTTAATAGCTCAAATAATAATTAGGCCCATTTGAATAGCAATTAAAGGAGAGAAATGCCTTGCCTCCATAATTGCACAAAGAGCACTGCAGAACCTTGGAAATCTGACCGAGAAAAGTAAGCAGAATATTCCAGAAAATAAAACATCAAAAATACAATTATAAGTAGAACTCCCTCTCCCTCTTCTACTAGCCTTTATAATATTCTATGACAGCTTGCTTGCTCTTCATCACAGATTAAAACCAACAGTATGAGTCAAATGTAAGGCACTGTACCACCTAATTAGTAAGTACATAAGATTCTTACATCAATTTTGATAATATTAAAATAATATTCCTTTAAATCTATAAATTGCTGCCACTGCCTAAGGCAATGCCATAATTACCTTCTACCTTTCCTTTAACTACCTTTCAACCTAAAATGATTTACTTACATGAACATACTTGTAGACAGACTTTGCAATTACCAAGATTTTGCAATGATACATTTCAAAAGATTTTCAAAAGATTTTTTAATGCAGTGTAATGGGTGCTTTTCTCCTGAATATTTTTTTAAAGGGCACTTAACTGGAATAACAATTGGAATGGTAAGTGATTTGATAATTATCTCTATACAGGAATGAGTAAAACCATTAGAATCTCCTCAGCATGCTTTTTCTGAATTCTACATTTCACATGAAAATTAAATACATATGCCAAGGAAAGTGGAGACTGGTTTTTAATGTTTTCACTACAGTTCTAAAGTGCCTTCTATGTTAATTTAGCACATTTTACAATTTGTAACCTTCAACTTTTATTAAAAACAAATACCTTTAGTTCCAACTGGCGAACCCAAACGATATTATTGACAACTTCTGAAAGGTTTTTGCCAGAAAGTGGTCCAGTTGCATCACCAGGAATTCCTCGGCATCGATTCTCAAAGTCTAATCGAAAATCTATACAATTTAAATCAAATAAATGATTATACACACTAGGCAAAGATTTCCCAAATGCCTTCCATATACCAAGCACTATGTCAAATGCTGTAGATATAAAAATACTAAGAGCTGGTCCCTTACCATATCAAGTGAGACATAGAAAGAAAATAAGCAGTTAATTTAAAAAAATCTGTCACTTATAACAGAAATAGTAAATTAATCTTCTGCAGATAGATGTCATAAAATGTAGTCTTAATCATAAATGGTATACTCGTATATACAACAAAGAAAAAAGTAACCTACAAAAGTATTTTCTCAAGCAAACACTGTAATCTCTGATAAACTTTTACCTTTAACTGAGTCCACAAGTCTTGCCAGTAAAGTTTCTCTTTCTAACATCAATTCTTTGCTTAGAGTTGGACGCTTCACCAACTCTTTATATTTCAGAAATGCTTGAAGAAGCTAATATAAAATAAAATAAGTATATGTTCATCCCAAGTGGATCAACTTGGTAAATACATACATAGCTCCTAAAATAGCTTAAAGGAAATATTAAAAGTGAAATATTTCAATATATTATTACCTGCTGTGGACTATCTTGAATTTCTGAAATATAATTTTTCAATTTTCCTGCTATTTTTTGTTCCGCAGGTGCAATGATTTTTTCATATTGAGACACTGCAGCTTTCCATAAAGGCTAAACAAATTATCAACATTGATAGACTTTAATATTTTAAAAAATCTACCTTTAAAAAGAACAACACAAACAAGAAATTATATAGAGAAACACATATATATTCAACCTCAGTATATGGATTATATTGCACAGGATTCAGGCCAGTAAAAGGTTCAAATACTCGAGCCAGGCATGTGATTTTCTCTTCACCAGCAGGTAAAAAATAAAGAATCTTCTCATGAATTGTTCTAACAGCCAAGACCTAAAACATAAAATATTAAAGCAACAAATTTATTTAAATCAATAAATCACAAATAGGTCTATGATTTAAAGATGGGGGCAAAACTTTCTATAAATAGGTTCTCCGAAATTAACACTAAAACGGAAACTATAATTTTGAGAATTACTACTCATCAATAATCAAAGTGATATTCAAAGGCATATATGTAACATCACACTACTATCAGTGTGCTCAAATCTGGTAAAAATATATAAAATCTAAATATTTATAAACTATGCTTAAAGCTCATTTAAATAAAGTTTTAAAATCTCCCCTCTAATTCTGATTTTCATAATTATGCATCAAATTGCACTTCTGATAATGGAATCATAGGTTAAGAACTATATTATGTATACTTTACAAAATGCTGAAAAACAAATCATTGTATTTTGTATTTAAAATTTCCATAACAATCAAATAGTAATCAAAAGGTTAAGTAAAAATACTATAATCTTCTATTTGAGTTGGAACTATCAGTACAAATTCATGATTTATTTTTCTCTTGCTAAAAACAAAAATACCAATTTAACAATCCTTATTGAGAAGGCCTAAAAACATTGATGACTAAGGAAAATTTAACACTTCCCAACCAAGTTTTTGTTGCTAAATACCATTTTTCACTATAAAGAATTAGGTTATTTGAGAAATGACTAATTCTGGGAATGAGAAAGAAAATGTACAAGATGGGCTGGTATATTGTGGGGGACCTGGAATTAAGGAAATTATCAAAGAAATAATGGATTCATGTCAAAATAATAACATAAGAACCAATTTAAAGGGGGCACTCATTGCCCAAACATGAAACAATTTGAATATAATAACTATAATGAATGGAAACACATAAAATGTAATAACTCATGGGTTCATAGTCACTACTAAAAAACATTTCATTGATGGCCTATAGAACTTACTGTGAAACTAACTTATTCATTGTTCTAAAAAAGTGTTAAATAAAACAAAAGAAGTAATTGTCTGTACTGGCATTCCTATACAAACTATATTTCAAGGTAATTAAAAAACTGATGACAAGAAGTTCTTCCATCTTCACTAATAAATGCAGAAAGAACAATTAGAAAATCACCATTTTGCAACCCTTCATGGTCATCAATGGCTGCTAAAATCACTAAGAAAAAAAATTATGGAGAACATACAATAGATGGATCAGGTTAAATTTATCAAACTAAAAGTGGGAAAAAATATATAGTACCACCTATGAAGCAGCCTGATTCAAGTAAATTTACCTTTAAAAAATTTTCTGAGACTATCAGAAAAATTAAGCATTGGTTATATATTATATTAAGAAATTACTGTAATTTTGTTAGATATAATAGTGGTATTGTGGTTGTTTTAAGGGCGAAAATATATGATTTCTTGTATCGGCTTTAAAAATACTCCAGCAAAAAAAAAGAAAGACTGGGGAGACAAAAATGGAATAAGTACTAAATAATGTCAATGGCTATTGAAATCAAGTAATGGATGAACTGGCATTCATTATACTATTTTACTTTTATGAATATTTGAAATTTTTCATGATGAAACAGGTTTTTAAAAAATCTCCAAAGAACTATGGTTGCCGTAAGCAGAAATGGAAAAAGTCAGCTATGCAATCTTTGCATATTCTCATTTTTGCCTAATCCTTCAAGCTAAATATGTAAGTCCTATATTGAAACTGTAACTTACAAAAATTAAGCAGCTGTTTCAAATATTTCCACTGTACCCCCAAAAAAGCTGCCCCTGGTTAAAAAACATTTCAATAGCCAAGAGAATGTCTTGCAGCTAACATACATGGATAAGTGGGTTGATTACCTTTTTTATAACAAAGAAGAACAAAATAGAAGTTCACAACTTACAAGGTGAACAGTCACACACCAAAGACAAAGAAAGGAGTTGGCAACCAGCTCTTGGTTAATGGCCACTGTGCAGCTGGCACTGTACCAAATGATGCCATAAATTATCTCACATGAACTCTTATTCTCTCCCAAAAGTATAAATAGTTTCTATCAGATGCGGAGTGCTTGTTAATTACAAAATACACTTATAAACAAGTGAGGACCTACTTCACACTTAAAGACAAAGAGCCAAATAATCAAATGATACCTCTTCAAGGCGTTTGCCAAGTTTGTCAAGTGTTTCTGGGAAATATTTTTCATTTTTCCATGGATGAGGAACATAACGCTGCCACACCTGCCCTGTTAAATGATTACAGGCCATCACCCACTGCTCACATATTGAAATTCCAGCTTTCATATTTTCTTTCACAAGATAATAAGGATCTTCCCATAGGTTCAAAGTTCCCAACTTTTTCTGAACAAATCTTCCAAATGAACCACCTAATAAAACATAAAGCAAACTTTTAATGGAAATGTCTTTTTACCAATAATTATAGAATACATGCTTGTGACAAAATTAAAATAATACACAAATGAGCAAGCTAAGGATCTATGCAATACCACAGGCACACCTTTAGACTAGTACTGTCAATAGCAAATATGTTTGAAAAACAGAAGTATTTTTGCATCTTGCAATACATTATGTACATCTTGCAAGTGTGAAATATATACATTTTTTTAAAGGCTACAGAACCTACTGCACGGGTGTAGCATTATATAACCAGTTCTCAATTGCTATTTGTTTCTACTCTTATGCTATAAACAATGCTGCAATAAATATATTAATACTTATACATACACCTTTATGTACTTGTCTAATATTTCTTTAGGATAATACTGAGGAGGGTCAAAAGTATTGGCACTTTTAATATTGACAGATAAGCCAATATAATATTAAAGGAGCTTTCAGTTCATTACAAAGCAATGTCTAAATTAATTCATGCATAGGGATTAAAAAATCTATGTAAATTTAGCTGTATTAATGGTCAAAGAATTTAAAACATATGATTTGTATTAACCAACTATATACAACTATATTTAAATAATCCTATATGATTTGCTTTAAGGGTTACTTTAAGCAACAATTATTACATACAGGAGCATTTTAAGTAAGGACTTAAAGAAAAAAAACAGAAAACAAAATAAGACAGGCTTCTAAATTTCACAAATTTTTTTCGTTACTGCTACCTATGATATCTAAGAGATGTAACATTCGTGACTCAGGATAATGATCATGCTCTGTTTGTCTCCAGACATCATCGACAACATCCCGAGTAGTCTCCACCAAGTCAACCACTTCCAATAAGGATAGACCATCCAAGTTATAAAACTCCTAAAACCAAAACACACTCATTTTAAAACATAATCATATTCATACCTTGGGCAATACAGTCAAAATGTTCTCAGACTTTCTCAACTGCTACAACTCTAATATGTGCCATATTATTTTCTCCTCCTTCTTCTACCAGATGATATATTACTTCTTTATGCAACTATCCTATAAATTCCCTCACAAACATAAATTTCACGTAATCCAGAAAAAAAAATAAGAATTGCAAAAAGTCTATTCATTTAATTTTACCCTTGGCCTAATTTTCTTTAAATTTGGATTCATTTCTTTTATTTACCTAATACAGGTAGCTTTATCACTATACCTTCCCATTGTACATGACATATTTATTCATTTGCTGTGTTGCATAATGTTACAAATAATACAATTATAATACAAGGTACTATTTCATAGTGCATTTCATCAATGTTACAAAAAAAGCTTAATATCATTTCAAACACTTCATTAAAATTATTGAAATAATATTGGGAATGAATAGAAAATTTATATTTATTTTGGAAAAAACTTTTTATAACCATAATTAAAATGGTCACTTATTTAACCTCTCTGTAGCTACATCAAGGGATAATCAATCAAATAAGTATAAAACTAAGACTTTTTATATTACAGATTACTTCAAAATGCTAATTTGAATAAAGTAAACATTCTTTCAAAAGAACATATATTACCTCCACATGGGTTTTTGTTTTTCCCTATCTACCCACAGAAAAGTGATTGTGTTTTGAGAAAAAATATTTACTAGAGATTAAACTTTTTTAAAAGTTTGGGTTTCTAAGCTGTGCTCATGTTAAATACACACCTTAAGTAAACCCTGCTATATATGAAGGATATATTTCGTTCAAAACCATCAAATAATGATTTTAAAACAGAGGTAAATCTATTAAAAATAGAATCCTAAAGTACTTCTATCAAAAGCCTAATATATAACTATGTATGAAAGCACATACTCTTGCGATTGTTTCAAATAATTCTTTAAAATAATTGGCTCTTTCTTTACTAATCTGTTTATTTCCACGATGAGCTTGTTCTATCCAAAACTGGAACTCATCATTTGGTGTAAGAATACCTGAAAAAGTAAAAAGGAAAAAAAAAATGTATCAACTGAACATGAAAAGCCAGAAAGTTATCTGATTCACTACACTGATTTTGCATATTTCCTATATTTCTGAGGACGTACAGAAAAAAGTTTTACAATTTCTATCAACACAAAGCTCTTACTTAAATCCACTGGGAACAATAACAGCACCAAATTTATACTTCCTCTCAAGTTTATTGCTTAGTATGATTGATTGCTATATGCTTTTATAAACCATTCATACCTATACTGTCAATCTGCCTCTTACATCAATAATTTTGCTGCTTGAACACTAGGCTTTCCTAAATCTAATTCCAGAACCATTCATGATATTGGATACTACCCAAATTGAAAATGATTATAATTTAATCAATAAATGTTTCCAAATCAATTTCAAAGTATAAGCAAATTGAAACAGTTTTACTTTTAAATTTGCTTTTAATTTTCTCAATGAACTGGACAATCTCTAATTGCCTAATCACATGTTAGAAATAAATGCACTATTTTTTCTGTATCTATGGAATTCAAAAAGCATCGAATTTACTTCTCAAGCAAAGAATAAAACTGTATATCCAATATTCTAAAATAATGATTTGTGTATGTCAGGCACTTCATATTGATTGTTCATATGAATAATTTATCTATAGCAACAATAAAATTATAATTACCTTCAGATAAACTATGTTTTAAAACAAAAGTCAATGGCACATTATCTTTGCAAAGTATACAATTAGGGTCAATCTTCATTATTTCTGGATTCTGTATTGAGGAATTCGCCTATTTGCTAACTTTTAATTCATCTACTTGCTAACATTTTTTTGTAACCTAAAATCAATACTCGCAGCACTTTTTGTGGTCATTTGAAGACCTATGTGCAGAGCAGTGAAAATTTTAGCACGATACACTTAGGTTGAGGTTGGGAAGAGGCACTGCCTTCTTGTTTCTTACCTTCTAGCAAACAAGTGCTTTTAGTGCTCCATTTTTCACATTTTTGCACTTTCTGTTGGTGATTTCGCTGTTTAAAACGCACCCCAAGCATAGTGCTGAAGTGCTGTCTAGTGTTCCTAAGCACAAGCATACTGTGCTGTGCCTTCCGGAGAAAACACTTGTGTTAGAGAAGCTTCCTTCAGACATGAGTTACAGTGCTGTTGGCCATGAGGTCAATGTTAATGAATCAACAATATATATTAAGTAAAGTGTCTTTAAACAGAAATGCACATATAACTAGATTATGTGCTGAGCAGTTGGCAAAAATGTTATGACCAGAGGCTCACAGGAACCTAGGAGCTGTGGTTCAGCATTCACTAATTCAGTGTCCAAGGTGACTACAGAACGTAACTACTGCAAATAACATGGCTCAATTATATTTTCTACTTCCATGAACTGCCCACTGTTAAAGATTACATTTTCCTCTTCTCCAAATCCATATAGATCTATTTATTTAAAAGAAGCTTAGGCTCAGAAAAGATCCAAAAGTGGAAAATAATCTGTGAAGAAATATATTAATTTACTAATGTATTAATAAAACAATCATTTTGACTTTCTTTAATTAAGCTATGGTTATATACCTCGTGTGTCATCTTCCTTAAATTTCAATTTTGATAAATTAGTATCTGATCTTCGGAGAACTATACCCAACCCAGCTTCTAGTTCACTCAAAAGATTCTGAAGTTTGGGATCCAAGTTTCTGCTCCATTCCTGATCCTAAATAAAAACACACAAGAGCAAACACTGATCAAAAGCTTGTCAATTAAATTGGCTCTTAAAACACTATCAAAGCACTAAGTCAAAGTACACCTATTTCACTCAAAGCCTGAGACTATCTACATGTCATAACGGAGAAAAAAGTCTTTATAGCAATGTAACACCTAATGTGGACTGAATTTTAGATCTTTCTCCAATTTTGGTATTTGTCGACAATGCTTACTTTAAATTTTTTTAAAGATTTTAATTAAAAAACTAAAATACTAATGATATTAACAGTAAATAAAATAATAAACTTTTATGTTTGTGTTTCCATACAGCTACTTTTATTTACTCACCTTTAACAACACTGGTGCAAATACTTGTCGTACTGCTTGATAAAGGGAATTTATAGGTGATTCTAACATAGATGAAACAAGAATATTATTATGTAGATTCTTATCAGTAATTACGTCAGGTCGCAGCTTGAAGAACACCAGCACTTTATCTTTTGTGTCAGCAAAATCAATCTAAAGTGATAAAACAAATGATTTTTAATGTTATCTTTATAAAATTAATATTTGAAAGAAGTGTTCCCTCAAATATTGTATCACTGTAATTTCATCCCTTGGGAAAATAGTAACTTTAAAATAATTATATGTTATAAACAATCTATCTCTGCTCCTTAAGAATACCTGGGTTTTAAAAGGTTTCCCCACTTACATGTGATTGTAATATAAAGCTACTTTGATAAGTGATTTACAAATAGAAAGTACCACATAAATATTGATGACATACACTGCTAACTACTACACTCCAGCCAGATTCAAATCAAAGCTGTGTGCCCCAGGTACACACTGATGAGTAGTATACTTCTCCACTCTACTCCAGAAAGTCTGTAACCAGGATGTTAATTACCCTTTTAACTGAAACTAGTATTTTAAAAGATGTTTTTTCACTTGTAAATAACCTCAAAACTACCAAAATGAATTTAGCTGTCTGTCTCCTAAAATCATCTTTACCTGAACCAAAATTTTTTTCTTCAAGTATTTGAGCATCAGACTTTACTAAATTGTCATATAACTAGGTTATTTAAAGTTGAAACTGCATGAGCTAAATTGGAAGTCACTAAAGCAACCATGTTTAAAATAGGTCAGTTAATAGTAATCACTTCATTAGCTGAAAAGTATACTGCCTAAAAGAAGTTTTTACATTATATACACATCTTTGCAGTTGTTATGTCCTTGTCCAGGAAGAGAAGTCTATGCATTAAAAAGCTTTCAAACAAGTTCACTACTTGTTTGAAAAACACCTTACAGATGAGTGAGCTTTCATGCTACTTGCTACTTCTTTTATTGCAATCATTATATTTTTCAGCTGCTAGGAAGGAACTGGCATTTATTGGTGTAGCTGCATTACTCAAACTATCATTTTCACACACTGGAATTATACTGCTAGTATGATCATTTTATTCCAGTTACAAGCAAGTGGGATAACAAGCTGCAGTGTTACTGTATTAAAGGAGCCATCATGCATAAGCTTAGAACAGTACCTGACAATGTAAAGAGACAATAAGTATCAGCTATGATTTCCATCCTTTTTATATCTTTGTAAACCTACAAGCCTAGCAACATGCTTTGCATATACTAAGTTCAAAATAAAAGTTTATTGAATATAATTGAATTAAATCCAAGACTAAAGATTCACAGTAAATGGGGTGAATGATTCAGTCATCCTACAACAATGCACTCAATGCTTGCTGTGTGTTCAATACTGTTTGAGGTAGAGATATGGGTGAACATGAAAGAAAGGGGTTTAAAAATATGTCTGTAATTTGTTATCTTTCATCCATTTACTGAGCCCCTTTATATGTATGTACCAGGGACATTCGGAAGCTTTTCATCTTCAATGCTACCCAAAATATACATACACACACACACACACACACACACACACACACACACACGCACACGGTATCTATAACATATATGTTAACTTACTAACAAATATATGTTAACTTAGTAACATATATATTTGTTAACTTATTAACATATACACATGCTAATTGTGAATGCAACAATTTCTTAAGCAATCCTGCCAGCGGAGGTAGCAGCACAATAAATCAATCAATACATCATCACATATTGTACGTCAAAAAATAATTTAAACTTTGTATCCTCATTTCGTAAAAGATCTGAATTCCTAACTAATCTTTCCCTCGAGTAAATTTAAACTTAGTATGTAACCCAAAAAATTGGCCTCAAAAAAACCTTCAAAGAGAGGAGAGAAAATATTTTTTAATAGCTAAATAAGGTAAATGGGGGGGGGTTAGTTTTTCTGTTATGACCCATCTGTAGTTCTTTACGAAGGAAAAAATTGCGGAAAGAATATAACTGTTCTGTTCAGGTGTGTGGACAGCAACCTCCTTTGGTCAGGTGGGTTGCAAGCTTGGAAACTACATTCCAAAGCAAGAGAACAGTTCAGCTAAGGCGGAGGCAGCCTTTGGATCCAGGAAAAAGATCCGACGAGGAAGGCTGAAGAGGCACCCGACATTCCTCTGGCTGAGACTGAGGACGTAAAGGGAGCTCGGGGCAGGGGTGCAGGGAACCATACCGTGTTGGAAAAGTTGATTCCGGTGTCGGATCGCTGCACCCGGAGGAGCATCTGGTTCCCATCATCCAAAAAGTTGTTGATTTCTGGACTGTTGTACAGCAGTGTCTGGCCCCAGGGTTCCGACACCAGTCCGAAGTAATTCTGGGTGGTAGTGAAGATGAAAAGCTTCCGAACGTCCCCGGTTCCGCCCGCCATAATCGTGCAGAGGGGGAGTGGGGAGGGAGGGAAGGCAGGAAAGAGGGAAGGAAAAAAAAACAGCCCGGAGGGAAGTGAAGCCCGCCTCTAGGCCCGCAGAGCTTCGCGGTTGCCGGGACAGTCGCTATGGCGACGGAGCACAGCGGCGGCGATGCCACCCGCGCGCCGGGGACGCTATCATGTCGGGGACGCGCACGCAAAGCTCTCGGAGACGATCCACCACCTCCCGGCCCCTTAGCTGCTCGCCGCAGTCATCGATTGCAAGGGATTCAGACAAGTTTGTGTTAGGTAGCAAAACCTGGCTTTTATTCTTTCTACTGGTTTTTCGTAACGCATAATTAGAAGGGATACATCTAGTTTTCAAGTGCAGCAGCCGTAACCTAGATTTAAGAGGACTGGGTTCTAGTGCTTCCTCTCTACCTGCACCAGTTAGCAAACCACTCTTTCAGCGTCAGGCTTCACATCTGTAAAATGGGGAAGTATTATCTAGGTTGTAATGAGAATTTAAGAGATTACTATTTTTAAAAATCGCTTTTTAAAGAGAATAATAGAAAATAGGAGTTCAATACAATGCTAATTTACTTCTCAACCTTCCTCTGCTCCTTTCTGTGTTGCTTAATTTCCCACCATTATTTTAATTTCAGAAAACTTGAACCACGAATTTTTCATCTCAATCATTACCAGAACACAAGCCATATTTGTAAAATGACCAAAACATACAATGATACTTGTTAATTTATGTTATGACAAGCACAATACTGAGGAAATAAAGAAATGAAATAAAGCTTCCCCATTTTCTACTCCATAACATCACTATAAACTACTAACCTGCTGGTCATTTATCCCAATATTCATCAAAGACTCTGAATTCAATAATTATCTTCTAAAAATATTTACTACATGCTATGTGCCTAGTAATAAATTATGCCTTGGAGACAGAATCCTTGCCCTCTGGTTTTTGGTCTGATCAGTCATCATCCCAGCCCTGAATTGAGCCATCATCCCAGGGAACATAAATACATACAGACTCTTTTATTTGCACTCAATCACAACTTCCTTTTAAAACTATATTCTTTTAGAATTAGAGTCTTTTTATCTACCAAGCAATTTAATATTTGGGAATGAGAACTAACAAAAGCTAAAATGCTCTCAATTATAAAGGGAACCTAATTCAAATTCTCATGATATAATCCAAGAGGCAGAGGAGGAATCAATGAGGTAGGATGCTGGCCACTGGATGGAAAAAATCCATACAGGAACCCAGGACGAATGGGTAGCCAAAAAGCATATTAAAAGCAAAAATGGCTAATATGGATACAGAGATTCATGCTTTGCAATGAGCATTTTGAGCCTTCCCAAAGTCCTTTGGGGAGTCTCTATTACTAATAATTGCTTGGTCTAGGTGAGTTGTTTTGGTGGAAATGTGTGAAACGGCTGTATTTAGCGTCAGTGGCAATGTGGTGAATAAAAAGGCAACCCATCTAGAAACATGAGTTGAGAAAGTTGATGAGATCATGAGACTGTCATCCTTTCAGAAATTTTTAGAAATCTTGAGCAGACTTTGGACTTCCACATGATATGAAATTTGAGTGTTTGAATCAAGTTTAACCCATGTGTCAAGAAACAGAAAGTCCAGTTGACATGTAAATCCCATGAAGGTAAGAACCTTATGTACCTTTTTCACTGCGGTATACCCAGAATTAAGCGTAGAGTGGAAAACAACATAGATAAGGCCTCTGTACTCAATTTAGCTTCCATAAAGGAATCTCAGAGACAAATAACTTACACAAGGCCACAGAGATGGTAAGGTCTAGAACCAATATTCATAACCAAATCCAATTCTGAACCAATCTCTAGATATTAAATCACAGCAGTAGGCAGCCCACTACCAAAATCTATTCTCCCCTTCCACAGCTAATAAATGGTTAACATCCAGGGGTAGCCATTACCTAATTCTCATCAATCAAATGTGAGCAGAAGTAATTGTGCTACTTGCAAGGCAAGGTTTTAAAGAAGTGAGTGTACCTTCACTTTTTGCCAACTGAACATAGATGGCAGAGCCATAAAGAAGTAAGACCCAGGGCTCCTGAATCAGTGTGGAGTAAAGCCAGGAATTATTAAATAAGCAAGAAATACCGTTATTATGTTTGAGCCATTTTATATTATACATGTGTGAGTCCATTTTTTACAGTAATTTAGACCATGCTAACCAATAGAGTAATTGATAACAGCTGTATGGTTGCTATTTAAAAAAAAAAAAAAATTAGGTTGGGCACTGATTTAGCAGTTGGCCAGCAGGTGGCATGAAAACAGGTACTGTGAGCTGGAGGACAAGGGACAAAATCTTGCTGAGCCAAGGTTTCCTAAATATGTCTATATTGGCATTTCTCAAAGCTTTTGATGTCAAGACTTCTTTATACTTTAAAAATTATTGAAGACTCCCAAAATTTGTTTCTGTGTGTTATTTCTATAAATATGTACTTTAATAGACATTAAAACTGAGACTTTTAAAAATATGTATTTGTCTATTTAAAAACAAGTCTATGAATTGTTAATATAAATAACATTTTTATTAAAATAATTATAATTCCCAAAACAAAAATAAATATGATCAGAAGACTAGCATTATTTTATATTATTGTAACTCTCTTTAATTTACACCTTAGTAGGAAACAGCTAGATCCTCTATTTTTTTCTGCATTTCATCTCTTGCCATATGTTGTTTGGGTTGAACTATATGGAGAAAATCTTACCTCACAGATATGTAGTTTAAAAATGGAAAAGAAGTTTAATAGCCTTTTCAAATGATTGTGAATATTCTTTATTACTAAACTAAAATTCCATAAGTGGTAGTTTCTTAAAAGTAGTTTCTTAAATTTCTCAAATTTCTATATCTTGTAGAAGTCCAAAGTCTGCTCAAGATTTCTTGCAATTTGGAATCTGGAACCATGTCAGTCACCATTTCATATTCAGCTACATTAAAATCCAATGGTTCTCTTGTATTCTGGAGCTTCTACTAATGAATAATTTCATAACGTCATGCATTGGTCATTTGGAAAATATTGGTTCACTGAGCCATGCAAAGCTTTCAAATGTTGATACATTTCATTTTACAATATAAAAAAAAAAATCACAGGGCCACTCAAGTGTGTCAGTTGGTTAGGAACGCAAGCTCTGAGCAACAGGGTTGCCGGTTCCATTCCCATATGGGCCATTGAGCTATGCCCAAGCCGAGCTGCCACTGAACTGCCTGCCAACAGGTGGCAGGATAGTTCAGCTGGTGAGAGCACATGCTCCTTCCTAACAACAAGGTTGCCGGTTCTACTCCTGAATAGAATGGTGGGCTACACCCACCCACAACTAAGATTGAACACAGCACCTTGAGCTGAGCAGCCGTGAGCTGCCGACAGGTGGCCTTGACTTGGAGCTGAGCTAGCTGCACCCTCCACAACTAAGATTGAAGGACAACTTGGCTGTTCCCCTTCCCCAATTCCCCAACACTGTTCCCCAATTCCCCAATAAAATCTTTTTTAAAAAATCAGTCATTAATATACCACTGATGTCATAAGAAAAAGTTTATATGTATGAAGAAGTTGTCAAGCTAAGTAGAGTATTTGAATTTTTCCAAAATTCTAATATTTGCATGAAAGCTTGAATTTTATAATTGGCAACAAGCACCATCCATCATTTTCCTTGAAATGATAGGCTTATTTCATTCATTATGAGAAAAGCATCTGCCAAATACTCAAGTCTTAATATCCTTTCAATTCTTCCAAGTAAAAATGGCATTTCATGAAAAAAGCTGCTAGTTTAGATCACAACTCAGTCACACAGGTTCTTTTCTTTAGGACAACCATTGTACTTCACTATGCAGCAGAAGTGCTTTATGCATATTTCATTTCATCATTCAGAATATTGAAATGACTTGTACTGAAGTTTTGAGATCTGATAAAATTAATATTTGCTCCTTCTTCAAGGACATTCTAAAGTGAAACTGGAATCTCTTTCTGTGAGTAGATGAAAGTGAAGAATGAATGAATACTAGAACAGTTTGGCACCCCAGTATTGATGTTTGCCAAGGTGCCAGCAGTTTTAAACACTGCATCACAAATTATACAAACCTAGTGGCTTAAAACAACACCCATTTATTAGCTTGCAGTCCTATCCATCAGTAATCTGCTAACCACGTGTTTGGTTCCTCTGCTAAGCATGTCATGAGGCTTAAATCAAGATATCAACCAGGCTGAATTCTTACCTGGAGCTCAAGGTCCTCTTCCAAGCTTATGTAGTTGAGGTAGAATTAAATTCTGCTGTTGTAAGATTGAGGTCCCCAGTTCTTCGCTGGCTGTCATTTGGGATCACTTTCAGCCACAAGAAGCCATTCTTCACCTCCATCTTCAGAGTCAACAATGGAGAACTTTCTCACACATCAACTCTCCCTTCAAACACCTTATAACAGAAATAGCCCCTTCCTTGTTAAAGGTCTACCTGATTAGATCAGGCCCAATGGATAATCTTTATTATTTTAAAAGTCAACTTATTAGTCTACTAAACATGAGAGTGATACCTCATTAGATTGAGTTGTCGGAAAAGTCATGACGCATTTTTGTAATGAAAAATAGAAAAAAATACATCATGACTTTTCTGACAACCCAATATTTACAGGTTTCACCCACACTTAAGGTTAGAGATTATACTAGGAAACCTTGGGACCATTTTAGAATTCTGCCTACCACAACCAGCATTGCTTTTAGATCATCAGTGCAAATGCCAAGTATAGTAAAAGAGTTACAAAATGTCTTAGTAGTATTGTGAAAATAAGTTGACTTCATAGATCCCTGAAAATGTCGCAAGTTTCCTCTTGGGTCCACTGTTCTAGAGGATCTCTAAGGTATCTGTGTGAATTCTATGAAAGTGACTAGAGGACAAAGTTGGTTTTTTTTTCATTTTTATCCATTATGTTTGACAAATATTAAGCAAATTATTAAAAGACAATGCTGCTTATAAAATATTGCCCTAATTATTAAATACACTATTCACATTATTATTCAAAGAAAAAATACCATAGAATTGTTACGATATCATTTTTCATATTAAGTCAATCATCATGTTGGACAG